TTTCAAGCTGCATTTGATGAAGTTTCCAAGTAGCAATATACAACATGAAAAATATGCATATCCAAATTTCTATAATGTAATATATTTGTCTTGTGCGTTTTGAAAAGATATATTTATCATTTAATACTTAATTCTAATGCTACATGATAATTATTTTTGAATACATTAGAACATTTTCCAAGCATAATTAGGACATTATGCTTTAATTAACATTCAATAAATAAAGATCTGTTTTCTTTACGTGTAATTTTCCATTACGTTTTCATAAGTTTCATAAAATGTGCGAAAAAGTTGGAATGTAAAGTGTAAAAAGTAAAAAAATTTTGAAAAATTATTGTTAAAATTTAGTATATCACACAAGCGTGTTATTGTAATCTATAACGTAGTTTGTATTTGAACTTAAAATTAGAATTAATGTTTAGGTAGTAAATTAATAAGAATATTCTTTTGTAGTCAGACAACGCAAAACTATGATCTTAAATATTTGTAGTATTGCCTTAATTTTACTCATAATTATATTTATTGTATTTCAGTACACGAGTATTGTAAAATACAGTTTATTTTATATTTTATAGTATCAATATTTTTAGTACTTTCTTTTACGCACATTAACATATTACAGCGTATATTGCTACTTAAAGTACTAAATAAAATAAATTTTTGCATTTTGTGTACTTCTCAGTAACTTTTTAACATCCATACACATTAAAATGTCACAGCGAGGAATTTGATGTTTCACAAACGAATGAGCAAATGAAGTTTTCATTTAAATCAAATATGAAAATATGAATTGTTCATGTTTCTAATTTCTTTCAGATAATAGGACATGTATACCTACATTATTTTATAATCAAGAAAAGACTTAATTTATTTTGTTTGAAAGACTACATTTTTCTTTTAATTAGTAATCGTTACATTAATACTTCATAAACTGCACAAATTGTATTAGTAGGAAACAAATAAATTAATACAAGGTGTTTTAAGATAAATAGTATAACCAGATACGAGATTATTCTATAGATACAAGTAACTGAAAAACGAAATTTCAAAAAAAATTAATTTGAAAATTTATCAGGTACATACACATGAGTATCATTGAGTTTGTGTGCTTTTCCATTACTGATAATTTTTGTTTCTGTAGTATCATCTGTAAATATTAACAGCAATATAATTAGTACTTGTTTTTAAATAATAAAATAGATAATGTCATACTGTCAGTGTTTTAAGAATATAAATAATGAGTAATGGTCAGACACATTAACCCTCTATCTCGATTAAAAGAGTAATTGTAGGATAAATTCGAATTATCAGTCTTTGCCCTATTTTCCCAATTTAATGGTACGTAAAAATTCTGAAAAAATTCTGAGATATTCTGCCACAACAATGTATGACAGAGAATTTTTGAGAATTTTTTCGTTCCAAATCCTTAGCGTGAAAAATGAAAATCTCAAGAAGATAGAAAAATCTAGATTTCGATTGAAGCTTTTGAGTTACAACTTTTTCATTTTTGCAATAGTAACATAGTATGATAGTCATTTACAATTTTTTCGCCTACTATGCCATTGTTAAAAAGGTAGAGAACTAATATTTGACATATCTCAGGCAAAAACATAATTAATATCTTTAATTGTAGTTTGCTTTGTGTAGTGCCTACATTACGTGACTTTTAATGTTTCTGCATGTACGTGCTGTAGAATACAACTTTATTTATAATTTTTCTTTTTTCAATTATCAATTACATGACAATAAACGATATTCACTTCTAAAGGGCTTTACAATATTTGTAAGGTATAAGAAAGAAGTAAAAGGAGATTAATAGTAAAAAGTAAAGAATATAAAAAAGAGAAGTTATATCCTGCGGGGTGCGAACCTACGACAAACAAAAATTTCCCTCCGTTCCACACTAGCTAACCTAAACGCTTCGCCAACCATATTATTGAATACAGTGGTGAAACTTTAGTAGATACGGCATATTCATTTTCAATTAATTGCAATAACAGGATTTTTTATAATTTTTACGTACCATTAAACAGGGAAAATAGAACAAAAACTGATAATTTAAATTTACTCTATAACTACTCTTCTGGTTGAGATAGAGAGTTGAAAATTAATGTAAAATATTTTCTATAGGTAAACTATCGAACATAACTTTCATGAGTAAAATCAGGATACTTTTCACATCTTTATCCTGCTATAACCTTCGTAAAAAGTAAAACATAAAGAAACGTTTTACTTTATTCTAAAGATATACTTAACTATCATACTGAAACACACTGTATATGTCAATTTAATATTGACGGCATCTAAAAACAAACAAAATTATTATTTGTTTCAAATGAAGCTTACATAAAATCAAGAAAATTGGACCTTGCAATTCCATGATGCACAACATTGTTAAAAACAATAGAATTGCAAAGATTTAATTTTTGATAGCTATATAATATTTATTTAATGACATTTCCTTTGATTCAATCAAGGAACAAAATTAATTTTACATAATTTAATACCTATACATATATTGTGTAATTATATTACTATTATCTTCTAGTTGTATATAATGGTTACATAAATGTCATTTGAAAATAATCCAACACATTTTAACTTTTTATATGTTACAGAAAAGGAGAAAGTTTTTAATAAATACAATGTTCTATAATATATGTACATCACTCTTTATATTCATATATTTACATGTTATTTTGAAATATGACAATATTTGTTATTGTAAGTATAGTTTGTTTGTATCAGAAAGATCCATAGAAGCATATGTAGAGACATATTTTTTTCATTACAAATACAAGAGATGTATATGTTTCTTACACAAAATTTCATTTCATCGGTTACTTTGAGAAGCAACTTTCATTGAATATTCTTATTGATCAAAATTTTTATTCAAGTTCTTCTAATAATTTATGAGCTTTAAGAACCTTTTTTAATTTCATAAGTCTATAATTCATAAGTTGCACTATACCTTCGTAGCATAATATACATTCTTTTTGTTTAGCAATTTGTTCTTGCAATTGTGCTATTAACATATCTTTTTCATCAAATGTATCAGTAGAAAACATAGATTTTTTTGGAATTTTCTTAGACATTAATGTATCTGATGTTTCTTCTGTATTATTCTCTTGAATTACATTAAAATTTTTTGTAAGTTTATTATCCATGTTTAATATTTAAGTATTATACACTTTTAATAAATTAAACTTTGAATACTCTTACTTAAATTAATATAATAAATATTAACATATTTCAATGATAGAATACCTTAAACATTGATGTAAAGTGAAACTAGATTCTATGTTTATTAAGTGCCCTAACCGTATTTAAAATAAAGCAGTCTATTGTTGTATTATTTATTTAGTGAAAATTTACTATATTAAAAATCTTTTGTAAACTTTAAAATAGAATTTTTGTATGCTTTCATACATATATATTTATGTTTAATTTCTCTTTTTATTTATAAAAAAGCATAGACTTCATTCTAATTGAAAATATGCACTGATTTTATAAGCTTAATAGAATATATTAATATCCGAATTATAAAAGCATTACTTAGTGATACACACAATATGTAGTAATAAAATTTCTGTGTATGTTTTGATACTATCTCATAAAAAGTATCTTTTATTCATATTTCTGCAGGCTGTTTCCTTCTTCAAAAATCCCTTAAATCATTAGTTTTGTCCTTGGTAACTGTCCAACTTGGTATGTTGACTGGAACGTCTTAGAAAGGAAAATATGTACAGATAGGAAACAAGAACTGTCAAGTAATTATAAAATTTCAAAGTATTAATAAGTTTCAATTATTAGGTACTAAATATAACTTGCACATAAAAAATAAACGATAACTTAGGCGCGTATGGTAAAATTACTTACACGTAATTGAATTTGTCTCGATAGGCCAGGATTTTCTGAAATATTTTCTGTGCAGGAAAAGTAACCAAACAATTGGACGTCCGATTAAAGATAAGAAATTTACAAATTTTATAAAACGTGTGATCAATTTTGAAATTTTATATTGTCAAGTATTATGAATATTTCAAGCTCCGAGTAAAAATATTTTAAAGGAAAGCGCGGGATTAAGTACTGAAAAATCACCCACAAAAGACACTAGTTGTGTCTAGCTACTTCAGTAATGTAATCGGCCATTTTGCAGTTAGAGATTTGGTTCTAACATTTGGTCACGAAGGTACAAAGTTGTAGTCGATTATCTCACAAGATTTAAGTATTTTTTATACAAATAATAGGAATCGCTTTTTCCTTTAAAGATTAAAATAGAGGATACATAATAACATTAAATTATATTTTTTAACTATTTATGTACAATATAATTTAGTTATAAAGGTTTAAATGATATAAGATTGTAACTATGGATTAGTACTTCTTATTATCTACTAATTTTATTTATAATGTATAATTCATTTTAATTAAGATTAAACTATGCTTCACATTTTCTAATTTACTTCATAAGTGTCCATGAAATTTCAAAATGCGCCATCTATACGTTAAAAGTAGTAAGACCATTGATGGAGCACGATTTTCTGATCTATAAGTTCCACGTGTTCAGAAGCGAACAGACATGGTTTTTCAATGCGTCGGTCTTTTCCGGTTATCCCGTAACGTGTGTGAGGTAAAGAGATTCATAAGGAGGAGGGATACTTTGTGAAATCCAAAACAATCCAGCAATGCAATAAACGTTAACATATACTAATCTTATTAGTTTGCACAGTTCAATATATTTTTGCAAGGCTGAGTACTATTTTTCAGAAAAATGATTATTTTACACTCAGTAAAATATAACCTTGCTTTTCTGTTTCTGTCAACATTGCCATTTTGAAGATATATTTATATTTTTCTTTTTTTACGTCTACATTTAAATTAACTCAGAGAAGAATTTTATTAAAACGGAACACTATATAAATTGTATATGCTTTTTATTGTATGCCAAATTTTTAAATTTTACAACGATTAGATTTGATATTGTGGCTTATACATAACCTACAAGCATGTTGAGTAAGAAATGAAAAATAAAGTGAAATATAGAAGTGATAATTGATTATATTTTTGGTGTATTTATGTTTCATGGACAAAGTAGTTTAAATTAGAAAATTAGTGTCATTTTAATTTGCATATAAATATGTATTAAAATAATATCATCTGTTACTCCTTTTATAAGTTTGAATATTGCTATACAATAATTTTTATTCATCTATTACAGGATGAAGCAAATCGTGACAAGTCAAACTGTGAAAATACCTGAGGGGCTGACTGTCACAGTCAGGTCCCGTTTGGTAACTGTCAAAGGACCAAGAGGTATACTTAAACGGTCATTTAAGCATCTTGCACTTGACATCCGTGTAAGTAATTATGCTGTTTTCACTGATAATTTGTACAATAAATTATTAATAATGATGATACATGGATTCCCCTTCATTTTGATATAAGTGATAAATCCTTTTCTGATTAATATCAAATTAAGAATAAAATTTAGAACAATCTATTATTATTTTATAAATATTATTATTATTATTATATTTATGTAGATGATCAGTCCAAGGCTACTAAAAGTAGAAAAATGGTTTGGTACCAAGAAAGAATTAGCCGCTGTACGTACTGTCTGTTCCCACATAGAAAATATGCTAAAAGGTGTAACAAAGGGTTATCAGTACAAAATGCGAGCTGTATATGCTCATTTCCCTATTAATTGTGTTACAACTGAAAATAACACAGTTGTTGAAATCCGTAACTTCTTGGGTGAGAAGTATATACGTCGTGTGAAAATGGCACCAGGTGTAACTGTTACAAACTCAGGTAAACTAAAGGACGAACTGGTAATCGAAGGAAATTCCTTAGAAGATGTCTCCCGATCTGGTAAATATTTTTATTGGCATCAAATTAATCTGTGAATAGTTACGATAATAGACCGAATGTTATTTTAATTTGTTGTTGTTTGTGTTCTAGCTGCCCTAATACAGCAGTCTACAACTGTAAAGAACAAGGATATTAGGAAGTTCTTAGATGGTCTCTATGTATCTGAGAAAACAACAGTTGTACAAGACGAATAAATGTTACTCACAATTTGAACATGATTTTTATTAATTTATACTTTATCATTGACTTACAATTACTAATATACATAGTTTTTCATTAAACCTAGGAATTCTATTATAAATTCAATTTATGTGTAGTAATAATTGTTTAATGCATTATGTTATAGGAAATCTAGACAGTTAGGGTGACAATAATTCAGATAAATTTTAAAAAAAAGTGGTGATTTCTGACATTGTTATGTATATCGTCGGTGTAACTATGAAGAGAACTTACTGGCAGGTTAACATGTTGGTTAATATTTTATATATTTTAAAAAGCATTCACGAGCGTCAGTAATGTAGTAATTAATTCACAAATATATTAATGTTTGTCAATATTTATAAACGGAATAATTTCAATTCATCAATGTGTAATTAATTTCGCAATTGCATTATAGAAAATATAAATGCTTACATGTACCAAGCATTATTAAAAGCACGTGGGTAAACCTGATAAATACCAGGACGCCGGGTCAACGGTCATACTGAATCATTTTATTATGATAGCGAATTGTTGGATGGTACAGATCCGTTTGCTTTTGTTTGGATGCATTTTGATTCATGTTACAATTAACAATACGTACAATTTTGCTCTAGCGTCCGCATAATATTTTTCCTTTTACTTATATAGTGTTCTGTGTATTTTGAATATAAATAAGTTAAGTATTTAACTTGGCACAATTTTTCGATCAAAGATACCTTTGTATCCCGTATTGATAAGTTTGTTTCGATTCTACTTTCGAAATTGGGAAGACTACTCGCAAACAAAATAACTTTGAATTCGTTTGGTTTAAATTAGATTTTTATATTAATATGTTATACATATCGGCACATAATATGTTTATATAATATATTTTAAATGAGATCTTTCTGAAGTACTGATCAGCACTTCGGAATTCACGAAAGTTGCACCAATTTTCTAGTAAAATGAAATTATCTCATGGATAATTGTTTTGTTTTGAATGTATTTAAATGTATATATTTGCAACGATACAAAGTACAGTGAAATTACAAGTGCATTTAAAAATTAAATTCGTCATGTAAAAAACAAATGAAAATGTGAAAATTTTGATAGTTGATTTTGCTTTTGAAAATCATTTTATACTGATGAAAATTGATTCTGTACATACGAAAGAAAATCTTATGACAAACGGCGTTCTATGCTTACACTGTTTGTTTCTAGTGAAATAGCGGATGTTTACACGATTACAATGGATATAATATATTACAAGGTCATTCGGCGTTAAATAGAAAAGTGAAACGACGATTTTTATTTGATAAGAATAATTGTTCAACGATTGTAACGTCCGCGTCCCCTCGATAGAGATGGACACAATTTTCAAACGCTGTTCGTGACATCGGAATCGTTATTTTATGTTTGTATTGAAAGCCGAGTAACACTGCATTACACATGATCGGAGTCGTCTAAAGGTTCTATTGTAGATTAAAAACTATAGTATCTTATTTAAAAAGATGACTTCACAATTTCTAAAAATCTTCCAGTCACAAGAAATGATTATTCTTATGTTATAAAATAATCAAGGCTTTGAAAGTTGTTGCACAATTTTAGTTAGTAGATATAGCAGCATTGATAATTATTTAAATAATTAAAAATTTGTCAAAGATAGAATATTACATTTGAAAAGTAAAATTATTTCACATTACGCTTATATAGATTAGACTTTAACATAAAAGTACTCGAATGAAAAAATGAATTTACTAATTCTTTATTAATTCTCAATTTCATTCTGTTGTTCGAGCTATCCCATAAAATCTTATTTTCTTAATGAAATATACAAAGCAATTTCCTCAATGAAACAAAAACTGAAAAAACAATATTTTTCACAACGGTTGCGTTCTTAACATTCTTGCATCTCATAGTGGCATACCGGTTTGGGTATCAATTCTCGTCCGACATTATAATTTTTAATTTAAATCGAATTTGAAATATATAATAAAATCACCAAATCAGTTCATATTTGTATAATTTTCCCTCAAGTAAATAAAATATAGCTAGAACTGGAGAGTATGCGGATGGCGGAAAGATTAGATTGGAAAGCGTTAGCTCATTTGAAACCAATTACATGTCCTGAATGTAATGCAGTAGTTGGTTCATGAATTTTTGTCATCAGTTAGTAATAAAAAACTAGTTGACTTTAGTAGTTAGTAGTAAAAATGATCATGTTCATTATACGTCATAATACTTCCACTCTTATACGTAAGAAACTTTTATAAACTATACGTGTAGTTCTGTGTTCGATGGGACCATATTATCGCAGCATACTCAATATTTGCTTTTAATACTAGTGCTGTATATAGCTTAATAAGTGTATTATGATTCGTAAAAATTCCATCACATCTAAGCACAAATCCTAGGGTTCTATCCAATTTAGAAATGATCATGCCATAGTGATCTTAATATTAATGCATTACTAAAAGTACACCTAGATCCTTGACTGCATTACGTGCTTCTAAATCATCACGAAATAGTTTGTAATTGTAGGACATCGATTTATGTCTTCTAGAAAAACGCATGAATCCAGCGACAACCCCGTTAACGGACGGTTGCTAAAAGAGTTCCCTTGCGTCCACGGTATACTAGAAGCTTGAGGAAAGAATCGCTGTGAGAAATCTCGATTGTTTCATTAGAAAAATTGATGTGATTCCATGAGAAATTCTGTACGTCGCGATTTTCTGCAAGGAAAGCCGCGAACAACGTTAGTAAGGGATCTATAGATCGGAGCGGCTGTCGCGTGAAATAGAAAAAGAGAGGGGGCGAGATGTTCCTGATCGGCGGGTGAGCAGCGAAGGGGGATAAAGCAGCCGCTCGCGATAGAGGAACGCAGAAAAGGGAGGACACGCGTGTTCTCGAGTGCAGTGTTCGATCGGCGTCAGCCAGCGGCCCGCTTTTTACGCGCTACACGCGAGCAACCGCTGCTTCATCGTCGTAAACTTCGCCTGCACGTAGCGCGCGCGCGCGCGTGGTCATGCCCGTACACCTTCGGCCGCGTCGATGAACTGCTTTTCCTGCCAGTGAACCAAATTCGAAGTTCCCGCAATCGGATTTTGGTGAATGAAAGGCAGTTCCGGTGAACGGAAACAGGAAGCGAAGAGGAGACGAAGAGGACCGTGCACCGGAATCACAGCCGGTGGCCCTTCGAAACGATCCACGCAGAGATTTACAGTGTCTCGTCGACGACCTTGCCAGGTAAGCCTGGTTTCTCGCGTGCCCACCGTTTTTTCCACTCCACGTCGTTGAATGGCACTAAATTTTATAGTATTTCGTTGGACTCTGTTAACCCTTCGCACTGTAGAGGCGCTTTTTAGTCGCCGATTGATCTGACACAGGAACCTTGTAAAGTTTGATACTTAATATTAAATTTTGTATAATTCATCAATATGTGAAATATTGGAATAAAATAGTTTTGTTCCTTAATTTCTGTGCCACTTCTGAAACTCAAATTAGTTTCAAAAAATGTTGTCCGTGTTTTGTTAGAAGGTGATGAGTACTTTCAGTGAAGCACTTCTGGAGTACAAAAGCGTATTTAACGCGTTGGGTGAACGAAGTTAAATGATATTAGAATGAATTCTTAATGAGTGGGTATCGTCTCACGTTACAATATTATCTAGTTACTAACTGGCATTAGACGATATCATTGGACAGTGATCTCTTCATCGTAATCGCTTTCAAATCATTTGAAAGTTAATTGATACAAAATGATAATACGAATTTTTAATTGCACTTTATAAGGATGATTCGCGAACATGTTAATAGCTACTAATATCTATTTAATATGATTGTTTAAATCGTCGGCGTATCCACGATTCTTGTGCATTAACTTCCCCATTTTTCGATTAATCTTAGTTTACCCTTTAGATTAAACTTAGAAATTTTTAATTATCAATATCGAAAGTGGCATTGAGAAGTATGTTATGCAGTAAGACGAGAAATTACATTGTTATGGGATGACCTAATATTCATTCTTCCTGAAGAAAAACAACGTTCGAAACAATTACGATTTAATGTCACGCTTCTTACGTTCCACTATTATATTATTACATTTTTACGTTAATAAATATTCAATCTTCCGATTGAATTGCAAGCTTTCCAGTAAGTTTTCCAATTGAATTTCGAAGCTCCGGTCACCGGTGACCATCGTAGCAGTCAACGAGTTAACGCTTCGGTCGCCATCACATAACATTTTGTACAGATTTTAAAATGAATTATCTCAGTGACACGTCAAGCGAATCGAGTTTTCTTGCATCTGTGAGATGCTAGAAGGTCGAGGAAAGAATCGCTGCGAGAAATCTTGATTGTTTCATTAGAAAATTTGTCGTCATTTCACGAGCAATTTTATAAATGCCGATTGGGCGATGAACGAGTTAAATATTAGCACGCTTACTTTCACGGCCGGCTGTTTTGACGCAACCGTAACGACCGAAAGTCGAGCCGGCTCGCAATTCACGGGAAATTTATTGCATTTCTTCTTGCACCGCTCACACGTGGATCTGAGGATATTTGATGTCCTGCTTTCGGTGCGCTTTATATTCATCTTTCTGCTGGTTCCGATGGAACAATTACTAAACCAGTATTTCGCAAGGAAATTTTAAATATAAACTTTCTCGTAATCCTTATGCGATGATTTCTATCCTTAAAATTGTTGTGCATTTCACTTTAAAAACTTAGAACCCACGCTTGTTTTGAATCAAGTGTTAAGTAAAGAAATATTACGTTGAAGTCATTGAAAGTAAAAATTGCGTTTGTAATCTATGTACTTTTCTCACGAATAATAATAACACTGAGAATTGTATTTGTGTATTCTGTGTATTTCTCGGTCATTATATCGGTGCACATTTCTTTAATTTCGTCCGATTATTTTTTATTTGCGCGTAACAGGACGACGTTCAAGTGTCCGATAAAATAGCTGGGTTATCGATTAATTGTGCATTGTTATTTTTAAGATTCACCGTGATAGAACGAATTATTTTGTAATAAAATATACGATGTAGATCATTCCGTAATAAAACGAAAGCAACCCGGCTTCACGTTTCATCCGACAAAAGAAATTCGAGAATGTTCAAGACAATTGAATATGACTCGAATGAAAAGTGGGATTGAAACGGATAAATCACTTTTTCCAGATGAAAGTATTCAAAGCATTCGCCGCTAATAGTTTCCTTGTGTCTGTGGTGTCGTTTTCGCATGAATGATCGCAAACAAAGGCTGAAAGCGTAAATAAACGCAGAAGAAAGGCTGATATACGCACTCGCGAATCCCGCGATCGGTTAACCCCTTATTCTATGATTTCTTTCGCAACTGTGCCCGGCGAAACTACTTTGTCGTTAATAATTTAGTAGAAAAGGAGAAGAATATGATACTTAGTCTATGTCTATGTTTGCTAGAGATTAACGATAAATAATCGATAAGTAATATTTAATTTATATTCATATAAAAGGTATGGCATTTGCATTTCTCGAATTCAATATAAAATTTATGTCGCGAGTCTGATACGATATTATAGGACAAAGGGTTAAATGTGACGTATTCACACGACGGACGTTAATGATAATTGCGCACGTCTAACGGTGAACCCTTTCCCTCTGACCAACCAGTTAAATGTATAATGTAATTAATTAACATAATGTGAATAGAACTTCTTTGTTATTTTGCTAACAGCTGATGGAACATTTCTGCCATTCCTTCAGTTCTCAAATCAACCTTCGCGATTTTATTGTTTATATATTCATAATTACAATCATTTATTAAATGCAATGAATCGTGTTTGCAAAATGTCAAAAAAATTCGAGGGAAAAATCAACGTTTGTCTCAGTAGCAATCTTTATAATTACAATCATTTATTAAATGCAATAAGTCGCCTTCATAAAATGTAAACAAAATTCGAGAATGGGGACACTTGTGAAAGTAATTTAACTATACTACATTTAACTGTACAAAATATTTAGCGTTAAAAACATACGAGGTTGGTCGTGAAGATGTTAATCTTCAACAGAACTTCGTCGACTGTCGAAATAACAAATGTTGCATCTTGAACTTTGCGTTTAATACGACTACTCAATACAAAAACTTGCAGCGACAGCAATTAGTACATCACAGAATACGTTCAGCAATTTCTCAATAGTAAATAAATCGTCTACGAGCATTGAATCGTGTTTCCATTTCTGCACTTTGAAGATTAAATTAAATATAACATTCGAACTATTCATGATTCGTGAATGTACTTGAACAGGATTTATCAAAGTGTAATTCTAAATTCAGTATCATAATAATCTTAATTCGAACATGGTATGTACTGAAATAGCGTCCTAATGGTTAAATGAACCATTATTCACAAAGTACCTAACTAACTCCAGTATTTGAAATTTTTCAAATTTTAATCTTAACATGTTGACCGTCACGAGAATTTTAAGCGTTTCGTATAATATTACTTATCGTTTCATAACAAACGCAAATCGTATTAGAATTAATTATTAATCATTTGGCATTTTAGTTCTTAAGGTACACTAATATTTAACTACCTATGTAACCAAATATTTTGATTCGACATCAGTTTCCTTGTAATTGTTTTCAAGCAATTTAGACGCTCTGATGCTGCTTGAATTTGATTCAATTTTTCTACTTCTTGTTTCGCGAAGTTAATCATTTGGACTGAAATGTGGTTGACATTAGTCTCAAATATGCTATTTAAATTTGAAAGTCGCGATAGTTCGCAGTTGTAATATCCTGACCGTGAGACGATAAGGTTTTCAAAGAGCTCTTTGCGAGTACGCATCCACTTTCAAAGAACTAGTGTAATATTGATAAGTTCGTCGATTACCGATGTTTAATCATTGCTAAGTTATCGACACACCGATATCTGGTTTTCATGGAACTGAGATTACTTTTTGTTAGTTTCTAAAAGACCTCGATAAACGTATCGAAATCTAATCACAATAAGTAATATTAATAATTAATATTGATTAACCATAGAATCACCGACCGTTTAACGTGATTAATATGTAATCCTCATAAAAATTGTAACAGTAGATTTCTTTCAGTTCCTTCGTATATTCATTACATCGTTCAAATGAAACTATCCATTTAAAAATCTTTTCGGATGTTTGACGCTTCTAAGATATCAATAATTGCGAAATGAGAAATCTGGAGCCCGCCATTTTGACGGGTACGTAGCTCTAGTGGTAATATTATGAACACGATTGTAACATTTCAGTAGATTAATATTTCATTATTGTTATTATTATTAACATTAGTGTATTTAATGTAGGATAATATACTATAATGTTGTATAGTATTAATGTTTCATTAACTCAAGGAAATTTTACAAAAGCTTTTTTCTTGACAACACGGAAATATGTACATGTTAGACCATTATTTCTAGCCATTTAAATAAAGTTTCATTTGTTGCTTCTTATCTTCAACGTTTTATCCGAACGAACTTTTCAGGCGTAAATCTATCGAGATTCAAGGGAAATTAGTTTGAAATGACGGATCGAACTTTGCGCGTGTCGTGCACGCATTCTCCGTATACCTTATTAATCCATTTTCATTATAATCGCATGTATGCGCGTCAGCATTATGTAATTTATGTATCACAAAAAAAAGAAAAGATACATACATTTTATGAGTGCAATAATTGATGTGTGGCTATATAGATTTTTACTTTTTTATACGTTTTTAACCACTTTTTTTTATGCAATTGAAACATTTGTGATGGTGAGGACCATTTTTTCACTTTTTCGTATGATGTAAATGGGTTAATTACTTCGTTATCGGGGTTGCATTTAAAGGGGATACACTCGAGGCGAATACTGCGAAATCCACTGAGTGCCTACAATTTCGTTTTCTCTTATTTTTCCTTTCCGTAATCGGGAAGCGAGCATTATCGTCATTTCTGTCGTTCATTAGAATACACGGGATGGAAATAGACTAATGAGCTGAGTTGTTTTGCGATCTAATTACGATTTTATGTAAAACATTTTCTGCGAGGAATATATCGATTGCTGTATCCTCGAGAATGGAATATTCTAACTATCTTTGAAAATCATTTAAAGGCTAGGAAATTATTTATAATAATATCATTATACATTTTTATTATTGCGCTATTATTTAGAGTAACGATTTTCCAAAATTTCGAGATTTACCACCTTTAGTTAAGTACTAATTAGAAATTAACTCTTTCGTTTTCATAGATCATTCATATATTCATTTGATTCGATACTAGTGTTGCAAGTTATAAAATCATTGTTTACGCTGTATCGTATGTTTTTGCAAAAACTAAGACAACAGGAACAAGAAAAAAACATCTTTACTGTACTATCTTTTCTCTACTGCATAGTAGCGAATTAATTTACTATTGAGAAATTCATTGGGAAAATTAAATATTAGTGAAATACAAGGAATTTATTTGCAAAATATATTCTTAATTAAGATACAAATTGCAAAATACATTTTCATCATTACAGATTTCATATTTTTCTTTAGATAATTAAGTCTCCATACATCTTTAGACGACAGTGGATTTCTGTAATATATTTTTTCTTAATTTCAAGGTAAAATTTCAGGTTTTACACGAACCCATGAGAAGCAAGTATAATACCACTTCACGAACAGATTTGTCAATTATCGTGCAACCATAACGAATTAGCCTCTGTTGGCGATACGACGTTGTAACGAGTGGAAAAAATATTACTGGCTACGAACGGAAGTTTGGTAACCCCAACACCGTCAGTTGACGCGTTAAAATCACCATTGACGGACCACGACGACGGCGAGGTAGGACTGGAACGGAACGCGGACGTAACTCTCATACGCCTCTTACATAAGAGTCAGATCTCTGTTATTAATGTAAATAACTGGATAAATGATGCTCAATTATTAATTCGTTTCCTCCTTTGAACCCTCGAAAGACGGATGTTCGTTTTCTCTCATATTAAAATTTCTATCAGGTCACCCCGTCAGTAACGTCGTTTCTGAATGAACATTTTAACTCTTACGATTTAATTCCGCAGTTGCACTTGTCAGAACTGTTTATTGTTAATAATGTAGTAATGTATTGAATTTTATCTGCATTTGTTGCATTTAATAAGGTAGGGCAAGTTTGGGAGGGATGGTTATTTTTATAGATACATTTTATCTTTCGTTTAGCGTTCATAATATTTCTAATATATTAGTTTTCCAAAAAAGGAGAAGAGCAGTTAAATAAGCTTCTGTACAAAATTCAACATACCATTCAGAAAAATTGCCAAATATTTGGCAATTTTAATGAGATCGTGCCGTTTCATCTGGAGTTACCTTATTATAACTATAAAGATTGTCGCTAAAACAAACGCTAGTCGCGAACGTGTTAAAGTGCTTTGTCGTTTTTGTTAATTCTGTTATACTATTGTTAATTATTACGCTATGAATTATAATTTATCCAATGTCTCGAGTCGTAGGGTGCAATAAAAATACAGGATTTCCTTCGCCTATATTTCTAGTTTTTCTTTTGTGGACTTAATCGAGCGGCTCTAAATGGCTTGTTCGACAGATAATGAACACGCCTCGTCATTGTTCGTAAGAATAATGCGGTCACGTAGAGCTAAGTACACCAAGATACGATATCCAGCTGCTTTCGTTTCACTTTGAACCTGTACCTACGCACCGATGCACTCTCCGCGTTGTTATTTGCCGTCCCGGGTGAAAGTATTCTTGTTACGACCTGAATGAAGCCCGTTTAAAAGGTTGATCCCCCTGGCTGCGCTCTTCCGGTGATCTCGAGTAACCCGAAAATTCGGTTTTCAACGCTTATGTGTGCTGGTAACTGAAATGTTTGCGTTTGTTCAAGCTTTAGCGTTGCAATATATTTCGAGATAAAGTTATTTTTAAAAAAACATACGTGAGAGTGTTTAGAAAATTGAGAACCGCAGCAATTCTGTCGAATCCTCGTAAGAACGTAAGAAATTGCTTGGAAGAAAATTTATGAAACCTTTCACAGCTCGATTAAGAGACAAATATAATGTTTTGTCTTTTGATGAACAAATTTTGATGAAGAAGAAGATTGTAGCTTACCGTTACATGTTTTACGAGATTTCAATAAGAATAATGAAGAAATAAAGAAAAAAAATATTGTAGTATCTACTGCTACGAAACAGTTAAAAACATCGTTACTATGAAGATTGTCGTAAAATTAAGATAGCGATATCAAGCGTGTTAAAAGCCTGAAATCAACGTATTTTAAATTTGTCTTTCCTTTACAATAATTTGAGATTCCCATGGAAAATGGATAATTCTCTCAAGAATGGAACCTATACATTGCTAATTGATACGCAACAGTCGAAGTATTAGTCCGTTTGATTTTAGACTAAAGAAATGTTTCATTGAAAACATTATTATAATAATGAAACGATGGTTGATCATAATCGAAAATAAAAATTACAATTATTTATAATGAGGCGCTAGTATCTTGAGCAATAACAAATTCAATTAATAGTGAAATTCAGAACGAACTGTGCTCTGGGTAATAAATCACGATCGACAATCTGGCAACAAGAAAATATATCCATCCGGGAACATTAACAAAGTATTTTTGTACAAATTCAGGCAATAAAAATACAATTGATTTTCGGTGGTTCATTAGCATGCCGTAAAAATCATGTTTAATGTAGCCTCAACTTTACGAGCATTGGGTGCCCATTTATTGGGAGTTTTTATCGAATATTCGAAACCTCGTAGTCATTCACTTTTGTCCTTGTTTATTGTCGATAAAACGCAAGAATAATTTATCATTACATTCAACAATACAATTAATTTTTTTTTATTCCGAGCTGCGTTAATCAACCGCCATGTATAATTAGCACACCTTAACAATTATATTATGCAACAAATTTGAACTTTTTTTGTGTCTTGTAATAGCCACTAGGCGAGTTCCTTATCCTAAATATGAATTCGAAAACCAAATTGCTGGGTCACGTTCGAAAAACATGGGTTTTTGTAATAGCGGTCGAATGTTTTAAAGAAACAAGTGTTACCTGAAAACTAAAAACGATAGGTGGTTCAAATTTACCGTAAAAAATAGAGGAGAGTTACCGGAATATGTAGCTATACAAATTTTGAACATTGAGAATCATTAAATGTTTGTAAATGATGATCAAAATTTAAAAAAGGGTAGATGTACGTACTTTGTACGCAATTCTGTTACATTTCCACGAGAAGTGCGTTGGCTGGCACGAATTTGCTATGCAGCATTGGATTCTGCAGACATCTCTGGAGAGGAAACCCCCGCAGAAAGCGTGAGAACAATTTTCGTTTCGGGCAGGTTAAGAAAATCTCCGTCAAGAGCGCGTGTACAAAGTTTTGGCGACATACGGCCATCGCTCGCTGACCACGGCTAGTGGATAATCTTTTCAATGATTGTAATAGAAGAAGATGGTAAAAGAAGGAATGGGTAATTTTGACCTATCTGGTATTTATATAGTTTTTGTGTTAAGAGAGTACTCTGAAATTGTTTGACGACACTTAACATTGATCGAACAGTATGAAGTGGTCGTGTCGTTTTTGCGTTGTACGCGGGAACTTGAGATTCATTGGGTTACTTTTGTTTTTACATCGTGAATCACGGAGATTTATTGCGACGGTGTTTTCTACGTCACATTCGAAACTCGATTGTCGAACAACGTCGTGTTTCTTCCAACGAAATCAAGCAAAACAGCACGCGGTATTACGAAGCTCTCCGCAAAAATGGCGGACCTCGTCAGCCTTTTCTCTTTCTACATAAATTCTCGCACAAGAGTCTCATATAAATATGGATTGGAACGTTTGTTTCAAATTGATTAGAAATTCATGCAACGTAATTCTAACGGTTTGATGAGAAGAGGATTACATACCTTAACCTTCCTAGTTATATAACAACATTTATTATGAAGCGAATTTTGAATTTGAATTTATTAAAATAAAATTTCTTTTATACAATCTACAGAGACTGGAGTTAAATAGAAGTTTCTTGAAGCAGAGACATTACTAAATATTGTATTTTATACTTCATTGTATTCCTTTTGTTTATACTTTACATTTTGTTATGTTTTTCATATTTGCAGTTTATATTTTGTTATGCTCCTCGTCTTCGCAAAGATCGTATCTTTGAAAGATTTTTGTAAAGTTTTTTCCTTCTTACGACATTAGTCCTAGTTTAAAAAAAAATTAAAAATAAAAACTAGGACCTCTAGAAAGTTCAATTTAATCTTCAATTTTAATTATTTGTTCATTTTGAAAAATTTATATACTTTATGTAACATGAATTCTTTGATTAATGTGCACGAACGCACGAGTGTTTTTTCATCATTCGTTTATTTCATTTGTCATTAATTTTTGTATGTATATTGAGGGTGCGGTAGCACTTGTATTATTAAATTAATCAACGAGAAAAAATAATAGGAACAAGGAATTTTGCAATGATCATTAGCCAATAAATTTATTTATTCTTGTTGAATAAAGCAGAATTGGTTATCGCAGTGTTTCCCAACCTTTTTTGCGCCATGCTCCACCTAAGCCTTTCTAAAGTTCTTATGCCCCTCTATGTAACATATATATAATTTTTAATATTATATTATAATATTATATTTTGTTTACGTGTGTAAATATTGTGAAATATATGAAGTGATATTTCACATTTCATATTGCCCCCCCGTGGGACGACTGCCCCACGTTGGGAAACACTGAGTTATCGTGTCAGTACAGAATTAATTTGTGCTCTGCAGTTATTTTTCTCCTATTGAGATGCATATCCGAAGCAAATGAGTGAACAATCGAAACGTTCGCCTTTCAATAAGTGGTTCATGTATGATACCGTAGATAATTGTCTTACACAATCCTTACCCTTTTCATGTACGATAGTCCAGTTATTAAAATACCATAACGTCAGACTTTCAGACCTCCGAGTCATATCGAAGATTATGTATTTCTAGAAAGTATGCACAATTGGAGCAGTTCTGAACAATGTGAAGAAAAGTTTGAAATATCCAAATTTACAAATTTTAATATTCTTAACCCTTAACAGCCGAAAGGCCTCAATACGGGGACATTGATCATGAAATCCTTTTTTGTGGCGTTATTCCTTTTTGACAGATGAATGACTCATACAGCAGTGAAACATGAACTTTGCACTAAATAAAAAATTTTCGTGCTTCTTAAGAAATGTTCAGAAACAGAAAATACAATTTTAATGAAAACACTCATGAAACGAATCGTAAGGACTTAAGTGGTATGAACCATTCCGATATTTATTCTGGTGTTCAGCAGCACTGGCAATTGTCATGACGGAAATAGGGAACATTGAACTTGAATTCACCGCGTTCCGCTGCGGCTCTCACCGCGTGGATCGGATCTCCGATGATCTCCGTTGGACTTTCGATGTTGATTCATTGCGCGGCGATAAGATTTGCGGGTGTACTTCGACCAGCGTTACTGTGAATCACAACTATCAACTTCCGAGCGCTGGAACAAAGAAAACTAATAAGAGATATTGTTCATCGTTCGCAGTAAAGAACCCACATAAAATCGTCACGAAGAAGATAACGTCGTCTTAAATAATGGCAGAAATTAGTATTCGCTTTAATCCATCCCACGACATTGAATTGGTAAAGATCAATAGAAGATCAAATAAAAGTACATTTTCAGTACACCCGTAAACACGATATTATTAACTATTAGTTTGAATTTCAATTTAAAAAAATTGAAATAGTTAACAGACGTTTTTACAGTTACCACTGCGTCTAATACTGCGGAGCTTCGCGTAACTTATAAAGATCTTACAACCATTTTAAAACAGCAATTTCAATAAACGTTTACGCAAATTTTATATGCTTTTTAACTTACTGATACCATCTTTGTAAAAGAATAGATTTCTTATACTTTATAAACATCTGTAATTTACTGATAAACTATAGGTATCTTTCCTAATTGTAAGTCGCAGTCCAAATGTTAAGGGTAGTAAAAAGTTCTCCTCGATTTTTCGGTAAAATCAAAGTCTCACTTAAAACACTTTGCAATTGCTAAATGCTCAAAGTAATTTCCATTGTTATTTATGACGTTCTGCTATTCTTCTAGAACTCCGCGAGTACCGTCGCAAAATCCGTTAGCTTCAATAAGATGAATTCATCTATCCAACCTAAGATCGTCAAAAAGTACGTTCGATTACACCTAACGTTCTCAAACGTTTCCATAGATCTAATTCCGTCGGTGAAATTAGCGTAATGGAAATCCATGTCAAGCCGAGTGGACGTTACCAGAGTTCGGTCGCTTTTCGAAACAATGCTATAAACAAGATTACGGTTATCGCTCGCGGGAGATAGGACACTTTGTTCTCTTTGAGGAAGTTTGCTCAACGCAATCGGCCGTTTCAATGTCGTCGATGCCCTCTTAACACGGGTGCACGCGCGCTGCTTTTCCGAGCACGAGAACAATACAGAGCCAAAAGTTATTTATGATTCGGTGATCGCCGCGCGATGCCGCGAAAGCGGCATTGATAACAGAACTTTCTCGCTGCGGGGAACTGCACGTGAAGCGCAGCCGTCTCCACGTTTTCCTCTTCAAATCTCGTTGACCTTTACCGCAACGGTACACTGTGTGTAACTTTTCCTCCTCTTCCTCTTCAATCTCTCCGTACTTTAACTATTTCCAGTTGATAATCACTTTTGTTGTAAACATTCATTACATCCGAGTGTGTATACTACTTATACGATAAATATGTTTTATGTAACAAAAAGTACGATGGAACCCCGTATAATGTGATTAAAAAATTCCATTTTCCTGATACTGCTCCAACTTACTTCTATGTACGGTAAGATTTATTAATTCCTATCGAATTATGTGGCAACACTTTCAATAATTTTTCTCTGTTACGATACGATAACTAATGTCACGATATTATTGTGATCATCGATTTCTGGTGTTTAATTTAAAAATGTGTACCGGATTCTTATTTCGAGCCGATTCAATCGGTTCTAATCTGCAATCAATATTATCGAAATTACAAAAAATAAACAGTAATTATAAGAAAAAACTAAAAAACAAAATTTAAAGAAAACCCTGGTTCCGAATCGGTTAACCCTTTGCACTCGAGAGACGACTCTCGTTCGCCATTTGGTTCTGTACAGTAAAATTATAAAATTTGTTATTTAATATCAGAAATTTGTAGAACACATCAATATTCCGAATATCGAAATAAACTAGCTTTACTCGATTCCAAAGTGATTTCTCTTCAAGTTTATTGCAAAAAATGTCGTCTACGTTTCATCAGGGAATGTTGAATATTTCTAGCGAAGAACGATCGAGTGCAAACGGTTAGTTTACTAAACGAAATAATTGAAAGCGCAAACAAAATTACTGTACTGGGATTCGCAGACAACCGATGCCGTTCCAGAAACACGATATTGTGCTGACTCACTGTAAAAGAATGATATGATACTGACAGGTTCCGGTTCCGGAAGCCGCGAAAGTACTGTTAATGAAAATATCCGGTTATGGTAATTATCTGTAGCTAAGTATACTTACATACACACACAATCGCTTTCGCGCACGTGCTATTCACGAATACCAAACAGAAAGTAAGTACCAAGTCCAGCAACCTTTGTGTATCTTGATCGTGGATCGAGATTAATCTAATCTAATCGCGGGATCGCGGTCAAGCTTTCGCTAGATTTTCGTTCGGCCACGTTCTCGAAGTCCGCTGTCATTGGACAGGCACGGTTTGACGTGCTCATCTTACGCGCGTCGCGATAACAACGAACCAGTCCGCGGTTTTAACCCCGTGCTTTATGATTTCTCTCGTAATTGCGTTGATTAACACTAGAACTACCGTACCAGTCAAAATGACTGGTTTCAATTGTTTTGTTTCGCGATTATTGATATCTTAAAAGCATTGAATGTTCGATATGATCTTGAAAATATTGGGTTGGCAAGAAAGTAATTTCGGTTTGCACAAATAGATAGTGTTGTGTTCGTATTGTTATTCTTCTGTCAATGTTATAATTTTTTTCTTTTGAGATCTGGTAATTGACACTTTTAGGTTACTATAGAAACAAATTCCGTGTAATTTTGTTTACAACCGAAAGAAATTAGAAATTAAATTGAAAATTGAGTTCTATTTCACACATTGAGTTCTATTTTAAGAAACCGAAATTACTTTCTTGCCAACCTAATAAATAGCTTCACTTGAATACTATAATGAATGTCTGAAGAAACGGAAAATAATCTATTGTTACAATTCTTATAGGGATTACATATCAATCGTATTAAATCCTCGGTAGTTCTAGTGTTAAAGGTACCTCGAAATTAGACCGAATTTTTATGCATTTATGAGAAATTTGAAAGTGTAAAGGTGCACGGAAAGTACGGAGTTTGAAAGGATATATGACACATCCGAAGCGATGTGCTTCTTACAGTGTTAGTTAGGAAAACCCATTTTCTATTGTAATTGCTTTCATAATTGTCCTGTTAAAAATTTCAAATTTAAAAATTAGAATTTGAAAACTGGAAATCGAAAACTAAAAATGGAACTGTGATTGAAATTTGTAATCTGAAATGTGAAAATTCGAGAATTAGAATAGCCATAACTACTAATTTGCTAACAGGAAAAAGATATTTCCTGTGAATCTACCTTTGCTGTAGGAATCTAATATGACAGAGGGAACATTTTATTTCGGCTTTCAATTATTTATTAGTTTCTGTTCGATATTTTCGTAACGACTTAACTCGATATTGCAAGGCGAGGAGTTTAAGGTCGGCGCGGTCGTTGGCCAAAGCCGGTTCTTCTGTTCTTTCAAGAAATACGGAAACGGGAGCCTCTCCGGTGCGGACCATTACTGTTGATCATTATTCTTTGTTCCGCCATTTTGGATCGAGGAAAGGACGACGGGAAGACCGATGTCGGGGGTGAACGAACCTTTCCTTTGGTTTCATTTTAACCTTTTGCACTCCAGAGATGACTCATAGTCGCCATTCGATGTAACAAAATTATAAATTTAATATATATCAAATTTTATGTATTAGTTGCAAATAGTACCATAATATTTAATTAGATCCTGAATCTTTCTTTGGATTAAACACTGTATGAATAAAAAATCAGACGAGCACCTGGAAGTTAGTATTTATGGAAAGCAAATTCGTGAATTAGTACTGAACCTGGGAAAAGGTCAAAGTATCAAACTTGTAGTCAACAGTGTCAAAGTGTTTCCTTGTACACGTATATCGACTATTTATCATTCTTAACACGTTGATGTAAGAATCTTGTGCGTCTTATACATTGCCTGTTCTTTCGTAACAAACGTGAATGAAAATAATTATTAATCATTTGGCGCACAATTCTTACTTTACATTGTTATCAAATTAATTACGCTGTTAAACATTTTTATTCAACATTAATCATCTAAGGAATTGCGACTATTTTCAAGCAATTTGAAAGCGCCGGACATCGTAGTAATTGCCTGGTAGTTTCAAATCGATTTATACAATTGATTAATCCATCATCTGTTTTATTGCTACTTAACGACCATCTCCGTTTCTGCGTGACATAATCGCCCCATTCATTACGATTTTAAAACGTTTTCTTTTTTCTCCCGTGCGCTATAAACAGTTCCGATCGAGTATGTCGAAATCGTCCTGACGGTAACTCAAAATTCTTTAATCACAGTAGTTCTTACGAGAGCCGAGGAATCGTTGAAAGACTATCAAAGTGACGGATTCACTATCAGATATGTATCTATGTATGTACTGTCATTAAGGACAACGTTTAATGTCAGTGATTCTTATTGTTTGTAGGTCAACTGCTTGTGATGGAACGGCGAGATCAATGGTTGACATTATAGACGTGATTGTGGATTCTAAGTAGATGATCTCTGTAACTTTTGAGACACATGTCGCTGGGTGTGTCCATTTGTGTCTCCCGATTAGAAATCAATGTCTTAATTACTTCGTTAAACATTCGTAACTTTATCTTAGGGTACTCTAATGAATGGTTCTTCGGTTTTAGCAGAAAAACTTAACAAATGCTTACAACTATTACGATACTCCAGTTAGAGACCGTCGTTAACTGTATCTTAGGATACTCCGGTAGAGGTTCGTTACACGCAGTAACTATTACAATACATTAATTAGAACTCATTAAATGCTGAAAACTATAACAGTACTTTAGCTAAGGGCCATTAAACACTCGCCAACTATTAGAATGTCCTAATTGGACTCCGTTAAATGCTTGAATCAATATTTCAAAGAACCCCGAGTGGGATTCGTTAGATGCTTTTAACTACATTTTAAAGGTATTTCGAAGTGTGCATACATTGTATTAATAATTATAGTTTATAAATACTTTGATATTGACAGCAGGTCAAAATGCGTTCATTTCACCCTATTACAGAATGTTTCTATTATTAAAACCTTGAGCTAATGATGCAGTGTTATATTACCATTCTTGTGTATACCGAAGACTTAATTCTCAGTCCAGCCGTCAAGTGATCCCCTAGCGGTGCAGTAAACCTTGGGCAATTCGAACCTCATGAACTTCTTCATAATTGCAACATTCGGGTCCCGATGTTCTCTGAACTCTCGGTTTTCACTTTCAGAGTTGGTCGGGCTTGTGGGAAACACGGGCCGGCAGATTAAGGGGCCAACAATGACGACCATTTCCTCTTGTTACAGCGGCGCGGTGCTGGTTCCCTTATGTTGAATTAATCGCCGAGCGTTCGGGCAGCAATACTTCGCCGGTCACTCGACGAGTTCAAACGAACCGCGCGCCACGATGGAGGTGTTGATGCACGAGGCGAGCAATGGCCAGGAAACAAACGTGGAGGGTTCGTTGATTTACACCACCGGCAAACAGTTGACCAAGGAGAAGTCGGACGATCCACGGACCAACGGAAATGGCATGCGTTCCATGGCGATGGAAGCCGTCGACACCGTCGACATCACATTCGAAAACATCACCTATAACGTCTCCCTTGGATACAGAAAAGGTTGGTCCCATTAGGGATGACGATGCTATTAAAAAAATCCTACAGCTAATGTCGTTTCTTATCTTCGTAAGATTTTTTTTAATTCACACGTATCATATGACCAGGTACCAGGTCTACCGAGAAATTCTGTTATCGTCTCTGAGTTAAAAGAAACTGAATTAAAAGAATGATTTGTATGCCATAAATTATATATTTATGCCTACCGGAAGGATTTGTCCAATAATGTCACTTTAAGTTTCCAAAGATGAGTCATTCTATAGAAATAGTAGCCAGAAATTACCATCACGGTGGGAAGAGGCCATTAATAACTGATGGAAATGATATTGTGCAGTAAGTATTACGTGGGTTGCTGCAAAAGTTTGTTTGCAAAAGAAGTATAGGAAAAGTCACAAATAAGTTTGAACCAATGGTTTTATTGTTTTTTCAAAATATTCTTCTTCGATATTAATATATTTTCCATTGTGTTGCGTCTACACTTTCAAAGCTTAAACATGTGAAGCTTTACGAAAATAACGAACAACTGAATGGCGCCGCTAAAAATGGCACCCGATACTTTTGCAGTAACCCACGTATTCACAATTGAGAATAACATTGGAATAAACACTGAAATAATATGAGATTATAGGCTTGAGTATATAGATTCCTACTCAAAGAGTTGCAATTTAGTAATTGGAAACATGCGCTCGTTTTGACACAGGGCCCACTTTACATGCTGGTGAGAGTGACGCTCCCTTTTCACCCCTGTGCATGAACCAAAGAAAACTCTTCAACGTTCTCACGTTAGATGTCGGAGATGATTTGGTCAATTAGGTCTTCCCCCTGCCTGCTTGTATCGGCAACTTCATATTCACACGCCCCTGTAATGAACATTGACGACGTTAACGCGTTGAATTCGGCTGGTACAATTTGCACACGATTTGTAAAGATTTCAAGATTAACTTTCACGCTGACACATCGAATGAACCAATTTGTTTAATCTACAAGAGCCAAGAACGTTAAGGAATCAATCGCTATGAAAATTCTTTTTCTGTTTCATTAACCCCTTGCCATACAATATCCAGTCAGACTTTCGAGGAATATTTCAAATGGAAACTAAAAAACTAAGTGCCACTCGATTATTTTCGTTTCAAAACAAATACTAGTTTACTATTACGAATTATTGCAGTCTACAGTAAACGTGAATATAATTGAATTGCAGATTCCCCTTTGTTTTTTAGTTAGTGACAAAGTTATTTTATAGAAATAAATCCCTTTAACACTTAGAATTAGCCAATCGTATGAGGAAATCTCCCACCTTTCTCTTAGCAAAACACTCCCATTTATTTTTCTCTCTTGTTATTTAGTGAGTCTTGAACTGGGGATGTTTGCAATTCAATAAATACCTTTCTCGCTTTTGAGAAACACAATTTTTAATCAAATCGTTGAATGAGCTCAATTAAAGCCGATGAAAAAGGTTATAGTTATCGTCTTCTTCAGGCAGTTGTTAAGGTGTTAACACATTCGCTACTGTGGCTCCAATCGACACCATTGAACTGTATTCGTATTTCAATGAATGTCGTGAATTACTAGAAAATCGATCCATTAACTTAACACTGTTCATTTAAAACACGTATCCTTTCGCATACTATAATATTAAAATGCATTATTCGCCCTCGCACTGTAATCACGAATGAAAAATGTTGCTGCGTGGATTTTTGACAAGTGCTGATCCATTCGTTGTTGCAAAATCGACGCGGCGTGGTCAACGCGCAGTACCAAATATTCAAAACCCCCTGAAGAATGATTCAAGATGAAATGCAATCGATCTTCAGACGCGGAATGCTTTCATGCTTTCCAATTCGTTGCATAAGTGACGCGAATCCTGGTTACTTACGTGGATGGTAGAAACTTTTCTTCGGATCAGCGTGTGTATATGTCCAACGGCGCGTATCTAATGTCCGATCATTCTTGAGAATTTCTTACGTGGACACGTAACTTCGGAGAACCATGGTCAATTTCTCTTTTGATTCGACTTTAATCACCTCTCTCTTGGCGTTTAAAAGATGTTTATCCTATAGTCCATTAGTCCTTTATTGTGCGGCCTCGGCTCGACCATTCTGTGCTCATCAGTTCCGTTATTCTTCTACATTCATTTAGCTACTATGTGCCTATTAACCCTTTGAGTGCCAAGAAGCGATATATCGCTTCTTCATGCGCTCGCGAAAAGTTTCTTGATTTTATTAGTAATGATGGAGGTTTAACATATTTTCAATATTGTGTAAACATTTTATGAACTTTAATAGAAGTTTTCATTTATAATCATGCATCTTTGTTTAAAATTGTCTGGCATCTCTCGAATATGTATGAAAATTTCCCATAGCGCTTAAAGGATGAAACAGCCCAATTTACCCCCATTGATTCGCTGCGTTTGTTTCCATTGCCTTTCCTGCTTTGCCTCGATTAATTTGTCGATTTTCCTTAGATCGATTTCTTTTCTTTCACTCCATTAATCTTCTGATCGTTTCTCATTTGATTTCCCTTCTCTTGCTGTGCTAATCTCCCTACTCTTAACTCGTTTCTCTTCTCTTGATCTATTAATTCACTCGCTCTTCTTCCATTGGTCTTTCTTTCTTTTGCGTACTAGTTGTACTACTATAACTCCATTAATTCTTCTCTTTTTCTTAGTTAATTCTTCCACTCTTCCTGCATCAGACTACCAAGTTCTTCACTCCGTCTTTACTAATTCCACAACACCACTACAGTCACTTTCCTCGTGAAACATAGTTTGTTTATTTTCATATGTAATTTGATCAGCTGAACTACGGACGTGCGTTTATGAATCATCCTGTACAGCAAGACCTTGATTAACTGACAATGAGTTATTTTTCGTAACCTAAATCGTGATTATCCATAAACTCGATAATTCGAATTCTTAGATTACAGTTGAAAATTTGTAACAGAAATGAACATCTCTGAGGTATTCAACTTCTGCTCTACCATGCTGCAACATCGGCTTTTCCGCAAATGCGTTGATGCAGTTGCAAAGTGCAATTGCACTTTTCTTTTTTTTTTAAATGAAACTCTACATTTCGATTACAGGTCAGAAGGAAATACTGCATAGCCTGAACGGAAGACTTCCGGCGAAACGTCTGATCGCTCTAATGGGCCCGTCTGGGGCAGGGAAATCGACATTGCTGGACATTCTATCAGGATTCAGGATAAGTGGCGTGAACGGCGAGATCTACGTTAACGGTCGAATTCGACAGATGAACAGTTTTCGGAAGTGAGCCGACTATTCCTCGTCGTCTTTATATAAAGTGTCGATTCGGGTTGTACAATACAAAACATAAATAAAAAATAATTTAATTTTTAATAATTTCAAAATGATCAAATTTAATATTAACTTTAACTTGTGATCATTTTGATTTATCTAATTTAATATGAACTTCAGTTTTTAATTATTCCAATTTATTCAGTTTAATATTACGTTTAATTTTTAATGACGTCAATTTATTGAATTCACTATTAAATTTAATTTTTAATTCGAATGAAAGATACATGTATTCTATCTATCAGTTTTTATACTACCCGAGTCGATCTAAAAGAAGTAGAAATACAAAACTGTACAAAATGAAAACTAGAAAGAACCAATTAAGCAATTCGAAACTAATTAAATTTTCTAAACGTTCAGTAAAGTGGAGTTAATCGCTTTGACCTATCAATTATGCAAATATAAATACGAATATAAATATAAAACAAACAAATCCAGCTGGGGAACGACGACTATACCGAATATTGTTCGATCGAATATCACAGATGCAGCACGTACATCACGCAGGACGACCGGTTGGAGCCGTTGCTGACGGTGATCGAGAACATGAGAGTGGCCGCTGACCTCAAGCTGCCGACAAAGATCCCGCGATACGAGAAGGAAACAAGAGTGAGTGACAGTACCGTTCGTTCAGGCGAACAATTGTCAATATTTTGAATTGCGAATGCATCGCAATCGCGGTTGCATGAACGGTGTTCGTTACGCCGGGGATTGATAAGATAAACGGGACACGCTGAAATATCTAAACTGGGAAATGTTTGCGGGATAACGATACTGTTAATGCTCGGACGTGGCAACATGACCTATTTAAAAATTTCTATTTTGCAATTATTAACACGTTGACTACCACGGTGATCGTCGGTGGTTGGAGCTCCATAATGACTGGAAAATAATTATAATTTGCGAAAGAACTAACGTCGAATATTTTTATAACATTTTTGTTCGGTGGCCTAAATAACTAGATAATGGTGGAACGTAAAAATCGTTGGAAGGAATAATTAACAATTCCTCCTTTTGTATCTTTGCTACAAAGGAATAGGTGATACATACAACGCTGAAATTTTCGGTGGCTGTCAACGTGTTAAAATTATAAAGATGTTTTTTGTGAGATAACTGAACTTCTATATTTGCACAGATGCAACAGTAGAGGGTGTTAAATCTCAAGGAATGCAGCCATACTTTTTCTATAAGCGGTCAGGCTTAATCTAGGTCCGCGTAAAAACTCACTTGCATCGGCAAGCGGAATAATCCGCGTGCTGCGACTTGTATTAACCCGTTGCCATAAGATATTGTAAAATAACGTGACTCGTAGCGAGAATTTTTGAAAAGAATTTGACAAGGATAAATATTACTAGTTTTGTGTATGTTACTATATTCTGGAATTTAAAATAAATATTATTTTTATATTATCCACTATTAACCTCTGGAATAAACGCAGACAGAGAATAAGTATCCAAATTCTGTTACTTTTTTATTAAATTATTAAGAATAAAGTTCATCAAGCATGGCATTGAAAAAAATCATAAGGCAAAGAGTTAAATACATATCTAGGTTAATCAATTGTGTATCATTGATCCCGGAAGTACTGCGCAAATCGTGCAATTAGAACCCAGATACAAATTGGTTAACAGGTGTGAAAAGTCAACCGAAAATGTACTACCGCGAACGGATCAGTTATCCCACGTGAAATTCCTTTTGGCACTTGAACTCTGTTGTGTTGTCATGATGGCCTTGTTGGCGAATGAGTATTCCGATTCCGGTGACAAAAACACCCGAAATCTCGTCTAATTTTTATTTCGCGCGGCCGAGTGCGAAAACTCATCTGCACCGTCGAAACTGAGAGGCTGTCATTGAAAGAAACCGTAAGATGCGCGCAGAAAGTGAAATAGTAAAATATAAATAGAAAGCAAACAGTGTAGATATAAATCTATTTTAAGGAATTTTCTTTATTTGCAATTTTAATGCCTGCACTTAGACGTATTGCATCAAAGATTAAAGGATCAAACAATTTCGACGGAAAGATAAATACTTGAATATTGACAATGTAGCTGTAAGATTGTGGAAAAAATCCGCCATGTCTAATCCGCCGTCCGCCATTCTAAAATCTTCGTTTCTTGGATTCAATCTTACCTTTTTCTAATTGCAACCTTCCAGTCCGGTTGAGTGTTGCAATCCAATATTCACTGTATGTGACTTCTCTCATTTTTCCCGAAACTTCTGCAGTAACCCACGTATAAACTTTCTCGCGCCATAAATTAATAAGAATCCGCTGTCTGATGGTCATGTAAACGGCATCAGTGCCTCAGTTTCTAGATTAGCGGCTAACGGCTGAATCTGAAGAAGAAAATTAAATCAATTTTCAGATCGAGGAGATTCTTACGACTCTGGGTCTGTACGAGCACATGGATACGCGAGCGGATAGGCTAAGCGGCGGTCAGAAAAAGCGGTTGTCCATCGCTCTGGAGCTGGTTAACAATCCCACCGTTATGTTTCTCGACGAGCCAACGACGTACGTATCATATACTGAAAAATAATCTTTGGATCTGACTACTCGTTATTAATAGACTGTGCGAGCTTCGTGCGATTTCCGATTTTTATATATTATTTTATAGAAGTTGAAGCAAGGGAAATTTTCATTTTGTCCACTGACAGATCCTGTATGATAAACAAATAACGTAATTATATCGTTAATATTAATTGATGCAAGTTTTCCGTTGTGTTCTGCACATTTATAAACGCCATACATTTATGTAGATCCACAGTTTACGGTATTAAACTTATTCGAAGAGCGGCTTATCGAAATATCAACCCTTTAGAAACAAGGATTCTCGAATATATTAAAAACCCTTTTTCAATGAGTTAAATTAATGATTCCTTAACGCTAAACGTATTGCGACCGGTCAACCGGTTTTAAAATTTGATTAGAAATCCTGCATTTTCTTTCGTCCACTTAACTTGAAATCAATTATCATATCAAATCAATTTTTCAATTTTTGCCTTTCCTTTTGTTCCGTTTTCACTAAGGCAAATCTATCGTTTTATTTGTTTATTTTATAACCAGTTATTCGACCGTTTACGGTAGGAATAGATATGTATAAAGTGCTGGTACATTTAGTATTAAATATTTAAGAAGAGTAGAAACTATTTATTGGTCTGGTGTTGTTTATATTTTTTTTAAATATTTTTTATTCCGTGTATACCTTGGTATTAAAACTGTTCTGTAACAAAAATGCCGACGGAAACGAGGAATATAAACATGCGAGGAAGATTATTAAAGCGCTATACATACTATTTCGGGAACATTAGCGTGTGAGAGGTCGATCATCCTGTTTACTCACGAAAGTAAAGCGCAAGGCAAACACCAACCGAATACGTTGAATAAATTACCCTGTAATTTTACCGATCCTTTAGCCACGCGTGTGTCTTTGTTTGCAGAGGTCTAGACAGTTCGTCATGCATGCAAGTGGTGAATCTGCTGAAGGTGCTAGCCCGTCAAGGGAGAACAATCATATGCACGATTCATCAGCCCAGCGCGTCCCTCTTCCAGCTATTCGACCTGGTAAGAAGAATATTACCATTATAACAAGACGTCCTTCCTCTGCCGTTCCCTTAATTGCGGAACTGGTATAATTATCTCTGTTGTGCCAAGAACGTTGGATCAGCAATGTCAAATAACTTCATCAATCACGTTGTTATTATAAAATTTTCTCGCAAGCCGAACGACTCGTTCCGTATCTTTCATTTTTCCAGTTATGGAGATCGCAATTATACCAATGATTATTAACCTTTTTTGTTATTATTAGTTATTAGCAAATAATAGTATTAATGGTATTAGTAACCTTTATAAAATTGGTGAAACCCTGGACAAATGTTTAATATTCGAACGTGTTTTGTACTTTAATATTTGCTTATGATTATTTATAAATGTTACAAACTTACTCGTCTTAATATTCATTTGCTTGCAAGCATTTGGAAAAAGTGAACGATTGTTTTTACGAAAGAACGTCGGTCCTCCGGAGATCAAACGAATTCACTCATTCCCGTGCATGTGAAAATGAAAGTTACATACGTGTAATCTGGTAAAATTCGCTTTTGTGATTTTTACAAAAGAAATTCGTATCGAGCAGCTTTCACTGCTTGACAGTTCCATCGTTGAGAATTTCGTTCGTCCGGCAGGTATACGTGTTAGCGAGAGGCGAGTGCCTTTACCACGGTGCAACCGATCAGTTGGTGCCTTATTTGGAAAACATCAAGCTACCGTGTCCTATGTACCACAATCCGGCTGATTACAGTATGTGTCTTGTATGTAATTACATTTTCTTTTCCGAGAGGAGTGACCCGAACCACGCTAATAGCCGTGAGTGGCTTAACACGTTCGCTGCTGGCATTTTTTGAAACTCAATTTATACTTTTCAAAAAATTTTCAATAAATGTAACAGAAAAGAGTTAGCAATTTTCCGAATTTGAGAAATCTAAGTGTTATTTACTTTTTCTTTAGATATAAATTAAATATTACTTTTCTATTGTCAATCGTTAACCTTTGAAATGAACGTAGACAAAATTTGTTCTTTTCTTAATAACGATGCAATAGTTGTATAGTTACGAAGTAAATTATAGGGCAAGGAGTTAATTTACCCGTAGTAAACGTGTTAACTATCCTGCTTCGAGCACTACAGTGAAAGTTCTAATTTCATTCTTCGTAATAAAGAATTTATTAGACTTCACTTAGGCGTAACAACAACTTTTGCTGTAAATAATATCCATTCTTTATATTCTCTAAGTCATTTTGCCACGTCACCACAGGAAGGAGATGTCAACGCTGATTAAGTTTTCGCTAACGTTTATAATTCATGTCAACTTTTTGTAACTTGTCAGCATTGTAGGATGAATATTATGATTAAACGTGTCACATTCTTTGAAATCCAAAATTGGTCAACTTTTGCATTATAATCGCGAATATAAAAACTGACAATCTATTCGTTAAATTCGCAATATCAATTCATCGAGTATTTATTGAACAGTAATCGAATTGGCCTGCGGCGAATACGGAGAGGACAAAGTGTCGTTGTTAATATCTGGTTCTCAAAACGGCAGGAACGTGCAGTGGTTCAACACTTCCGATCTCACAGACGCGAAAAATCTGAGAGGTATGTGAACGATATTGTTGTATAAAGAGTCACGACGTTTATTTCTATGATTTTTCTTTCGCAGCGTTGCATCCGATCAAAAAAATCATCGAAGCTGAGGGTAACAGCAGCTTACAGGCAACTTCTTTGGTGCATCAAATCAGGGTTTTGATAGGAAGGGGGTTTCTTACGTGCAGAAGAAACACGGTAAGCTGAATTATCTCTTTTTCTTGTTGTTTCAACCATCGAGGACGCAATACTGATATTTTAATGCCAGGTTTCAGAGCACAATTTACTGAACTAAACCTTTACTGAACTAGAACTCTACTGAACTTATTTACATACATTCAACATAACAATTATGTTGTTTTTCCTCCTTTTAATTTCGTTATATAATGTTTAAAGCTTTACACGTAGTTAAAACTAGTGAATGTGTCACCTTTTCGTGAGTACATTCGTGAGATCAGTAGTTAACGCTAGAATTACCATTTGGGTCAAAATTACCTACTCCTGATTTCTTTTCTTACAACTACTAAAAAGATACAGATACTTCTTTGAGAAATTATTAAAGAAGCTGATTTAGTAATACCTAAAACGAAATACAAGTCAATTGAAAGTTTAATAAATGCACGACTATAAGTTTTGTGAAGAAATTTTAAAAAGTCAGCTTACGTGCTCACAGTAAATCATAATTACGTTATCATTGCAGACGTTAACACACATGCGAATCCTAGTCAACATATCCGTCAGTTTTATGCTCGGCACCGTCTTCCTTCAGGCTGGCATGGACGGTGCCAGAGTCTTAGATAATTATAATCTTCTCTTTTCGATTCTTATACATCACATGATGACCACAATGATGCTCACCATAGTCACTTGTAAGTAACTGAGTAAATCATTTTTCTTACTTTAGAATCACTGAAATCGTGAAAGAGTTTTCCTTGGGAATCATTAAATAAATCTGTTTACTATTACATACACTATAATACGATTCAATCGAGATCTCGACAAATATGGTTATACAATATTTACAAGGAAATTCGTTTATTAAGAATTTAACAATCAAATTATTATTAATAATCGAATTACCAATTAAAATGTTAGTTAATAGATCATTCGACTTATGATATCGTGATAAATTGTAGATATTTCTCTAACTAGTACAAGATTATAAATGTTTCTTTAATTCATTTTTATGAAATTATAAATATTTCTCTAATTAATTAATATATCTCTTACAGTTCCTTTGCAAATGAGTATCCTGCTGAAGGAGCACTTCAACAGATGGTACAGCTTAAAGGCATTCTACACGTCGCTAACATTGGTCGACCTGCCAGTCTCAATATTCTGCTGCCTAATTTTCACGGTGATAGTATATTTCGTAACTTCCCAGCCATTAGAGATGACACGGTTCTTGATGTTTTTCTCGATCAGTTTGCTGATATCTTTCATAGGTCAAGGAACTGGTCTCATGATCGGAGCAGTATTCAATGTAGTTGTAAGTGTGTGTTGGTAACGCAATTGTCCCATTTTAATTTATCCGCGCAATTATCTCCCGAGCTATTCAAAACATTATTTCATATAGAATTCGTTTGGAAAGGGACATAACGATACGCTTTATCGTCACTCGTATTTACAAACATAAAATATTTCTATCAGTCCCTTACGCACGCTGCAGTCTTATGTAATTTTATGTCAATTAAATCGCTTGTATGTATTATACTTTACACGAGATGATTCTTAAATAAAAAAACGAAACAATGAGAAACAGGAGATAATTTTGCGGATACGTTAATACGTTCGATACCAGCCTTTGTTTCAATTCCGTTGTTTCGGTACGATACTTTATAAAAATGTTATTGACACGTTTACGGAACACAAAATATTAGTCGTCAAAAATGTCTACGAACTTTTTCATTGTTTTTTTGAAATTTTGTATAATTCAAACCGTTTATAGAAATGAAAAGAAAATATATTACAAGGGAAAATGTAAAAAGAAAAGATAACGAGAATGAAGGAAAATATGGGTCGCAAATATACAATCTGGCTGGTAGCAAGCGTGTTACACTATGACACCGTTAATATTTGCACGCAAAGTGAAATTCTGAAATGTTCATGTTAAATTTTAGAACGGGACGTTCTTAGGACCGACATTATCAGTACCATTGATGATGTTTGCTGGATTCGGTGTGTCACTGCGAGATATACCGATTTATCTGAAATGGGGTACATACGTCAGTTACCTGCGATATGGCCTAGAAGGGTAATATTTCCTGCGTTATTCTTGCTCCTCTGTTAATCTGCTAAATTACTCACTTTTGTAAATTAGATAACTTATTATCTGTTATCTCTATTTGGTATCTCAGACAGTTAATCCTTTGCGCTTGAGAGGCGATTCTCATCGCCGATTGATTCAAGGGAGGTAAAATTATAAACCTCGATAGCTCGTCATTAAAATTTTGTATAACGTTTTAATACGTAGAACATTTAAGTAACATGGTTCTGTTCTATAGTTTATGTATTATTTCTCTGTATGTTAATTATAAAAATGAAAATATTTATAATAAACGCAATTCTGAGTGCGAAGGGTTAAACGTTCTTCCTTTGACTTTTCATTTTATTATTGTACTTTACTGTAAGTATAATAAATAATAATAATAAAGAAAATATTATAAATATAATAATATAAATATACAAAATGCTAAGAAAAATAATAATCAGTTTAAATATTTCTGAATGCACAGGTACATTAGTGCTATATACGGGTTCAACCGACCGGTGTTGGATTGCCAAGGAAGGAAAAACCTGTACTGTCATTACAAGTATCCTTCGAAATTCCTTGATGACATTGCTATGGACGGCGATCAATTTTGGAATGACGTGGTGGCGTTGCTCACGATACTTATCTTAACGCGTATCGGCGCTTATTTACTTCTTAAATGGAAGATCGTCTCCGTGCGATAAATATAATCGAAGGATTATACAGATCGAACTCAACATGTGTTCCTCACGACTCGTGTTTTGCCTGCCCACAGTTTTTATCGTGATATTACATAGATATTTCGTACTATCGTTAGAAATCACAGCAAAGGGGACGTGAAAGAACCTATTTATCAATGCACGCGATAGCTAATAGTAAATCCATATTTAATTTAAGGTGTAAAAGCAGAGTACACGGTGCGCGGATAAATGTATTGTAATCCGAAATCTTGCGTACTGAAACGTTTAGGAAAGGAATTCATTGTATCGATGTATCATGTACAAAACGTTCATCGTTCGTATCTATTCTAATTGCTAAGACATTTAATTGTTTCTTAATTAAATTTACTCCAGACTGTATATACTTTATACACATAAAGTCCGAAAAGAAAGTAATGAATTTCTGGGGAAAGGAAGAAAATGGAATTCCGTTTTCCTTTTTTTTCTTTATACAGAAGGAGAAAAAGGATTCATAAAGATTTTCAAATCCTTTGTATTATAATGAATAAAAGTTTCACTGACGTTTTGCGATCGATCCGTTGTACGTATAAGATTTCGTGTAAAGAACAATCAAGTTTTAAACAAAGCCTTTACGCTACCGTAGAAGATTAATGGATCAAACTTATATTAATAAATAGCGAATTAAACGTAATCTAAGGTGATAACATTCCGGAAAGATATCTTCGGGAATTGAACGTGATATTTAAGGATTGCTCAACGAAAAGTCAATTAAACAACTCGAATAATCTGTTCATACGTGCTGGGTTTTCCTGGAAGCGGTGCGAGATATTTATATTCTGTCTCATACCACGTATAAAACCGTTGTATATAATTGCAGAGTTTCAAATTTATTTAAGACAAGTATTCTTTCATAGATCGTAACGTAACATTTTTTATTCACACCCGTAACTCTCAGCCACGTATGTAAGAATTTTTTATATTGTTATGTTGTTAATATTTTACATACTGATGGGACCAAAAATATAAGTCATCGGTAACTCTATATGTATCGCTTTATTTATACGATCATATTTATGCTATTATATTTGGTTTATAATTTTGAACATTCGATGAATATTTAATAATCGTCAATAAACTGCGGTTTCTATGTAATTTATGACAGGAACAAATATATGTATATAACTAATGGAAAAAAAACTCTAACGACAAATAATTGATTTCTCATAAGGAAAATATCTCTTTAATTTAATAAATTTCTTAAATAATAAAATGGTAAATAGTCTTCTTCAACTTTGACACTTATAGACTAATTTTGAAGAAGTTAAAGATGGAGAAAAGTTTTTTTATAATGTTCAACTTTGTTAAACATTTCATTGTATTCAAAGGGTCTTGAGTGCTATAAATAAATAAGGCACGAAGTCCACTTACATGTTTTAGAGTACTTATTTTAATTTATAAGGCAAAGATAAAACCCAATACATCAGGTTTTCAGTACAAAATGATTAATCTCTTGACATTGAGCTATTCGAGCCATTAATATTTACGGAAGTACTTTGAACTCGCGATCTTGCCGATTTTACGTAACACATCGAGAACAATATTTTTGAGAATGTGGGCTTATCAACGTTGTGATAACCCCTTCCCAAGAATATGCTTTACACATTAACAATGTATGTACTAGAAAACGTTTCAAGTATAAAGAAATATATTTTCATTATTTATAATTTTGTATGTAAAATTAAATATATACTTACAAAACATATCTAAGCATTTTTACTTAATAGCCATCAAACACTTTTCACATAAATATTTTCAAATCTACAGATGAATAATTTTGAAGTATTTTTCTTTTTCCTTTTTGATATTTAATTAATAATATTGGTCGAAGGACAATCACTTTTTAAAGGAAAATACATAATATGTCATCTCCGTGCTACGTTCGCCTTCCATTTAAGTACAAGGTAAGTAGCAATCTGCAGACACGCTATCCAAATACACAGCGCAAATATATTCATGAAAAAAGAAACTGTAGGCATATCCATCCATTCTAGAATTCTATTTGGAGAACGCAGGGGACAATAGATTGCAGAACATGGTAACTTTTCTCTATCTCCATCATAAAGTGCTTGTAAGATACCTTCAAATGCGTACCTGCAAGCAAATATGAGATAAGTGTACCATATTTGTATATGTTTGAGTTTATTGTAATTGTAATATACCTGAAAAAGCTAATAATGCACAGTGGTTGAAGGTATCCCGCTACTTCGCTGAATTTCAAGAAAAACCCGGCGAATAGAATCATGGGCATATTGATCGCAGGAACTAAAAATATTCCTAACTGGAAAATATTAACAATATTTTTTATTATAATAAAGCCTTTTCAAAATTATGGTTGTAGACCAAGATATTTTAGGATATTACTATCAAATATGATAAAAAATATTCTTCCTTATTAATGTGCATTAATTCGTCTAATTAAAATTTGCAAATTTTCAAACAATAGTTAATGGAATCTTGGACTTCTAATGTATAAGCAAAAATAATTCTGATAAATGAAATATCCACGTTATAGAAAATTACGGCTGCAACGAATTGAAATTAAACAATTAAAATGATCTATTACGTGCTGGTTAAATGCGACACCGACGAGCATCCCTGACGACTGGCCCAATATCGTTGTCAAAATGCAGATTAACCATGTACGAAAGAATCTGTCGCATTCCATGTACTGGCCAGTCATGTAGTATGCTATAAAGATAAATACGGATGGACAAAGGATCTAAAAAACATAAATTATTTTTAATCGAACAAATACAGAATTTTATTAGAAAAACAGTAAACTTACTTGCAACGGTAAGTCAGACGTAATTTTCGCCACGTAGTAAGACCTCAAACGATACCAATTGTTTAAATATTCTCGCAAGAATACACTTGCCTCTATAGGAACTATAAACACGAAAAACATAAATTCACTACACAAGTATAATTTTGTTTAATGAACAGACATAATTTCTAACTTACACATTAGCACAGCCGGCATGGAACTTGAAAAATACAAGAACAGTAAAACAAAGAATACGCAAGCGATATTGCTGTTAATTCTACTAGCATCGCTCCCGGTATTATAAAACACGGCGCCTAATAAAAAAGCTACTACCACGTGAGCTGCAAACCTGAGCTTAGTCAATGTCTAAAAGTAAAAAGACAATTTATGCAAAAATAACGAAACAAATGTGGTACAGGTGGCATGGCCAATATTGATATTACGCGTATAATTAATTAGTGCGTCGGATGCAATTGTACTAACATTATCACGTTTAGTACAGATCATTCCTCTCATTAACAGTACTTTCGCCTCTTCCCATACGGGCGACTTCAATTTGTTTGTATTATTGTTAATTTTCAACGTGACACCGGAATCCAAATCTGAAATTTTAATCGAAGTAAGTACAATATTTTTATTTTACTCTGTAAATAAAGTTAATGTCAAGTACCCATTGTAGGACGTTGGAACAATGTCTTCCATTTCTGATATTTGTCGTGACTTATTGTGTACAAATTGTCCAAGTCGCCGTCTCTCTCGCCAGTCACGACTTCTAAAACTATTACACAATCGTCAATCGGTATTCAGGACTTGTTAAACGTTTCCATTTATATTCAACTACACTCTAGTTTCTGGAATTACCAAATTCGGCTATATTATAAAACTGCGGGCAGACATATCCCGCGTCATTGAAGGTGCTTAAAACGTTGTCCCAAGTGCCGCAGTAGAAAGACTTTCCCTGGTGCAGGACTAACAGGTCATCGAACTTAGATATCATCCGGCTGCTGGGTTGATGAACCGCACAAACGACCGTGCAACCGGTACTCGCCATTCGATGCAGCAAATTGATCACCTGTTCAAAACGGTACCGCAATTTTGTTAGGTATGCTTGTGGAAATACAAAAATTAAAATAAACTTTTATTGATTATCGTAAAGAACCTGACACGAGGAAGTGCTGTCGAGGCCGCTGGTTGGTTCATCCAACAACAATACGGACGGTCTCGTGACCATTTCTATACCTATTGATAACCGTTTCCTTTCGCCACCACTCAGATTCTCCACCATTGTGTCTAGACTGTTCGACAGATTCAAATTGTCTGCTATTTCTTCGATCTACTCGAATAGATGGTTAATTATATTCATTAATATAATTAATAAAATATATATACATATATTGATATTTACTAATACAATAAATTATTACAGTTTTTACTACAGTTTAAATGTTAAAATAAAAAATTCTACTTTTCCATGCTTGTAGGTTTTTCAAAATGAAACCGTTTAATCAATATTAACATGAGTTTTGTCACTTACAATCAAATAAAAAGCGCGTCGATCGCGAATGCCTTGAACTTTTAGACGGGCAGTAAAGTACAGAGTCTCGCGAGTGGTGAGCAATGGTAATAGTGCGAATTCCTGTGGCAGGAAGCACGTTTCTTTGTGAAAAACGTCGGCGTTCCATCTTTGGTCGTTAACTGTAATTGTGCCTTTCACGTTGGTCGACTTCAGGGTAGATATGATGCGAAGCAATGTCGTCTTTCCAGCGCCGGATGGACCGAGAATGGCAGTCAACCTTCCCGGCCGAAAACATCCGGTGATGTTCTTCAGAATTCTCTTCGTCTTACCTACAAATAAATATGGCTTAACATAGTCTTACCTCTCTAAAAAATTCATTTGTTATGAACATATTAAAACCTAATAAAAACTTGTTTAAGAAAAAACATAATTGTATTAAAAAATATATATATAATATAAAATGTATATTAAAAACGACAAGCTGTGACAAGAGGAACATTAATATAGAATTTGTTAGATTCGATAATTTTCCTCATTATATTTTCCACAAAAAGAAGCGATAAACCACGACAAACAGATAAAAACGCAATACTGGTTGACTGTTGCTGCGTTACAAACAAGTATATATAATTATAAATGCGTATAATCGTCCTCGATAAGTTTTTCATAAGCATCATATGTTGCAAAAATGCCGCAAAAATTTGTAAACGGAAATATTGACCGTTCAACCTTGTGTCAGTGATTTACCTTGGACATCTTTTCAGCATGTACAATTTTTTCTTAACGGTAACGGTTGTAACATTTCACGTTATAATTGAAAAACTTTATGCAAAGCAATCTTGACCTCAGTTCGCGCTTTAATCAACATAGTACTTTATTTGAACTGGTCAATGCTAAGTTCTTTCATTGGTCGAGCTGATCTTTTAATCGTAACCGACCAGAGAAGCTGAACATACAAAACACATAAATATCTCATTTATTTCTTGATTTGAAACCTTTCGTTTATTCATAAAAAATATTTTTCTAAATTGGTTATTTGAAAGGAGGTTCGAAAATGTTTATTTTAGTTAACCAATGTTGTAAAACTATTTGAATCGTGTGTATAGCCACTATAAATTATACTTTCTCCGCGCGTCCGTGGACACTTGCCTTTCTTTTGACCGACTTCGTATGTGAGATCGTCGAACCCTACATGTATCCTAGTAATCGGCCTCGTTTCCGGATTAAGAAAATTTTGGTCGTCCCTCAATTGAATCGTGCATTCTTCGTCGACCGAATTGACCATCATATCGCCGTTTGCATCCTTGTTATCGTACATCTCCATTTCCACTGACTCTATGTCTGTCAATCGCTAACTAGTCATGCTAGTTCGAATTGTCAGCCTATGCATATACAATGTTTGCATATTATTCGGCGTGACTTATACGAAGTGAAATCTATAAAAACAGAATACTTCCATCGTTAAACCAATGTTGAAAATTATGTTTAAGTTTTAAACGTCAACGGGTAACTTTTCTGCCAACTAGTATAGTATAGAATTTTATTCCACCAAAATAGACTGATATATAATCCAAGAATATTCAGAGCCACTCGATGTCAATGTTGAAACGAACAATTTTAATGTCCACGATTGTATAACTCTTTATCTTTTGAATCGTGTAATTTCTTTTTCTTGCTCGTATCTCTTTATTTTAGAAACTTCAAAGCTGTCCGAAAAGACCATATAACAAATAAAAATATTCATCTTAATAATTGAAATATAAATCCATTTACATAATGATGCTTCAAAATAAGTTAAACTGAATTAAAAAAAAAAGTTTAAAATCATTCAGTTCGTGAAAATAGCTTAAAGGACGTTCGACACGGACTTAAAATATCCAAAAACAAAAGAATTTCAAAAATACTAAATAAGATCCCCTAATGAAATGACAATGTCCCGAAAATCGAATACCACGCTATCTACTGACAAGCCAACGATAACAAACATTTCACTATCTCACAAATCGTTTCTTTCGGCATTATTCACTGATTTGATCCTTACATCACGTTGATCTCGTTGCACTGTTCCTAATCAAGAACACAGAATCTCCAGCGACTAACTGCACTCTGGGTTCATGCCAGTTGCGTCTATCACCACCGATTGTTTAACAAACAATTTTCATTCTCGTGTCGAAATAAAACTGAAGCGCGCGTCACGAGTCTTGAATCATTCGAAGATAATTAAAGAATGAAAGAGCTGTCATCGTCGCGATGGTACAGCTACCAATTCTCACGACGGTTTGCGCGAAGGAAAACCAAAGTAACGCGGGGATAAGCTAACATACGATGTTTCAGTATCTCGTGGTTATCGTCTGATACACAAACAATAGGGTATGTTTGTAGCTATCACGGAGTCTGTTTTCTCGTGAGAAATTTCACCGACTGACGATAAACATGTACCACCTATCATCGAATGCAGACTCCTATTCGACCGTTCCGTCGGTGACCGGACCGAGGAGAAAATAAGTCGGTAAGGGAACAAAAACTGTCCTCAAGTTGATTAACCGCGAGCAAATTGAATAGACAGGACAGTTTTCCTGAAACTGCGACGACTGATATGACACGAGCAAATCCGTCGCGACGACTACCGATTAAACAGCCGTTACGTCGCTTAGTTTTCTTGCCCTACATGTCATGCCTGCAGCGTTTGTAATTTGACCTTGATTCACGATTAGATGCTCGCGCTTCGCTGTTTCCATACTAATAGGAAATTATATATTGCGTACAATAGGCATTTACGCATATTTGCTGGCCACTTTCCTCCTTACCGTGCGATCGGGAAAAGTAATTTGTGCATCCCACGACCAGGTGTTTTGTTTTCAATGTTTCTTTACACAGAATTGCTGCGAGCTACTCTTTATAAAACCGCGAGTTTTTACCTTTTACTGTTATTTTTCATCTAGATACTGGTAAATTCATGTAGTTTGAATAGGTTCATATTAAATAGTTTATATCATTTAAAATTCGGCTACGTTGAATACAAATTTTAAATGTATGTACTTTACAATAGATTCTGATGAAAGTGAAACTTCGTAATATCTTTGAGACGAAGGATTAGTATATTGTTGAGCATCTTTTTTAAATTAAACGAAAATGATTGTGATTTATTTTCTGTTTAATTGTCAACATTCGCTACTGACATTTCAACAAACATAGGGGAATAACTCCATGGAGACATCAGGTGTTTTTTGAATTTGATTTAATGTGCCCTTTAAATACGATGATGCAAATACAAAAGATACAGTTAATTATATTCTTAAAATTATTAACCTCTGTCACTCTCTCGTTCGGTAATCGGTATCAACTTAGTTTGTGCAAACAGGAAAAGAAGAAATCAATTCTTATCGTTTAAAACGAAACACAGCATCAGAAGAATATTGATCCATGATACCGTGCTTATCTTAAGGCGATAAAAACTTTTCGTATCACGACGCGCCTCACGCGCGTACTTATCACGCGCATAATAATATAACATATCGTAGAACATGTATTCGTCGTGTCCTTAACGAAGCGCAATAAATGCAACAATAATTATTTCCTTTCGGCGAACAGTCTTTTCACAAAGTTTTCTTCCCCACACTTGAACAAAACATTTGAAATAGAAGTCAGTCTTTCAGAAGAATTCATTAATATTGTTCTACTTGCACTAAACTGAACACAACACGTATCGACCGTGGAAAAGATTTCATATTTCACTAAATCTCGTACGGTAATTTTGATTTCAATGTTTACAAGCGTTTCTCCAGTCTTAATTTCAACAACGTGAACGCGCCAATGTCTAGCACGAAGTACAAACACGTTAGAACGATCATACAGAACCAGTAGTCGGCTTGCTTCATGTCTACTTCGTTCAATAGTTTCTCTGGCCAAGCGAAATGGCAATAGACGTCCGAACAGGACAGCTTTGGTCTATTATAACTGAAATTACAAAAGAACATTCGCATTTATCATTCAGATATTATAATAATAAAAAAACATAGGCAAGGTGGCGTTAATATTTATTTGTCTATAGGACTGCAATCGTCTTTCTGGAAGCTACGAAATCTAAATAAAAAATTTTAAATTATATAACACTGACGATTCTAATGAAATCAGAAGTAATGAGACACCACTTGGCTAAGTATATTTCCCTTGTTTATTTGATTCTTAAATCCACAGAAAGATTACATAATTTCTAGTGTCCCTATCTTTCCCGTTCTTCTCTATTGAGCTAAGTCGTAATGTGTTTATCAGTTGGTAAATGTAACGTGATGTACTGAGAAAATTAATAGAAAAGAAAATGGAAAATGAACAAAGGGAAAGTGAAGGAGTTGATGGAAGCAGAATTTTTAAAAATGATAGAGGAAAAATGGGAAACAATGTTAGAGTAAAGAAGTGGATAGAAATATTTAAAATTCTAAAATTTACATATAGCAAAAAATATAGGAAGCGCTAACGGAAGCAGAGTTGTGGGACTATAAAAATGAAACTAAACGATATGCCACGGATGTCTTCACTAACTTTAAGCCGCGATCTAGTCTTGATCTGACTATATTAACTTTTATACAAAAGCATTCTTACCCATAAATAGCAACCATTACACCCTCAAAACCATACTTAAGAAATGACAAATGAAACAGCCAGCGTAGATACGGGTGAGCATCCCTGAATTGAACAAAGAATCCACTGAATATTAAGAAAGGAAGAATAAAAAGAGGTCCAAAGATCATACCATGCTGAAAGAAAATAGAGCGATCTACATATTCATGATACATAAATAAACCTAATAGTCGTACGGAATAATTAACGTAATACTGAATAATAAACAAAGATATATATAACTCGTATACAATCATTTTTGTTCAATCTTCGTACAAACCTGTAATTTCATTCCGGTTCCAATCAAAAGACCGATTGTTTGAGCAACCATACTAACAGCGAAACACATTAAAATATACAGACAAAAACGTCGCAGTTCCAGAAGTTGATCGCTCATATAATACACTATAAGAATGTACATGGATATCGCCACGAATTGAATGGGAATGTCCGCCAATTTATTGGCAAGGTAAAAAGAGGGCAACTTGTACCAACGATTAAAGTGTTCGCGCGTTATAATCGGTAACTCCGTGGGAACTGTAAGTGAAAAAGAAACACTAATGATCGTCTAGAAAATAATAAAGTAAAATGAATAAACGACAAATGTTGAATCTAATAGTCTTACACGTAGTAACAGTCGCACTAAAGGCACTGAACATTAGAAACATTATATTGAAGAACAAAAGGTTGAAATTATCCAGGACGTATACCGCGTCCTGTCCAATTCTGAAATATATAGTCCCAACAAGCAGAGCAATTACAAAATGCATTGCAAGCCGTGTGAAAGTTAACACCTGGAAAGGGACAAGACGATAACGTTATAAAAAATGTCCTACGCATAACTTATTCAGCAGTTAAATTTACGCTACGAAACGAACAATAATTTTTTAATGATTTACCTTATCCCTAGATAGTCTAATGGCATTTCTTTTGAGAAGGATGATCACCTGTCTCAAAGAATTTGTGGCGTAATCGGAGGAACGCTTAGGTTTCCTGCGAATAGGATCCATTTCCATCGGGTGCCGCTGTCGAAGCGCTTGGAATGATGCTGTTACATTTAAAGCGATAACTTCCTCTTGACAATTGACGGTTACATTGCTCGTTGACCTCCAAGCATTATTTTTTCCATTCTCAATAGCGTCTACTAATTCCGGCACGTATCTGCCATAATCTCCATTACAGATTTCCATCACTGTAAAAAGGAGAAGAAAGATATTAAATGCGTAAATGAATTTACACCTGTAAAAAGTTGAAAAATATCGTTGTCCTTATGACGATAACGAACGTTATAAAGTGCGAGTGAAAGGATCAAGTGTTAAATACTTACAATAGTCGGCTGGATTGTAATGCGTCGGGCATTGCAGTCCGAGGCTACTCAAATAAGGCACTAAATTCTGCGTGCTACCGCTGTAGACACAGCTTCCGTCTGCTACGACATAAAGGTGGTCTATCATGTTCAAAAGCGATGCGCTCGGCTGATGAATCGAGCAAATTATCGTCTGCCCCGACTTCGCCAATTGCTTCAGCAATGTTATACAATACTTTGAGGTGACGCTGTCTAATCCACTAAATAAAAAATACAAAAAGGTAATCACTGTATGAACTATGTACCAAAAATATTTTATCAAGTAATTTTACGTGTATACGACACTAACGTTAAAGTATAAATTATTAATGCTGATACGTAAATTAATACGAACTTTATATTAAACGGAACACGAGTATGATTTTTCAGTATTTTAATACTTTCATTCTCCAAGTTTCAGTTATTACAGACAACAACAATAAACGTAACAACTTGCGCTATTAATAATCGCGCATCTGTTTTGATAATTGGTAACAGACGATAGTCTACCAACTATTAGTTTAACGAACGGCATATGAACGCGTGGAAGAACAGTTGTCATATTTAGTCAGTTAAAGTAAAACAAGTTTTTCTTTGTTAGACAAATACCTAGTAGGTTCGTCGAGGAACAAAATCGGTGGACTGTTTAATAATTCCAAGGCAATAGCCAGTCTTTTCCTTTCCCCACCGCTGAGCCACCCTGTACGCGTATTACGACATGAGTCCAGGTTCATTGTAACTAAAATTTGGTCGATCTGAAAATAATATACTAACATTAGCATATTATGACAATCTATAGTGATTAAAGCATTCAAAAGAATTCAGAATTATCCAAATTATATTGTACTCTTAAATTAATTCAATTCTGATTATAATTAAAATCTAATCAATTTAAAAATATTATACTAGCATTAGTATATTATTACATTTTACAGCTATTATACTATTCAAAAGAATTCTTAGTTATTTAAATTACACAGTAGGTAATACCTTCTGTTTTTTCTCCCCATCACTCACGGTAAGTTTAAGATCCGCAGCAACCTCCATTGCTTCTTGTACTGTCAATAGCGGCTGCAAATTGTCGTTTTGCATTATATACGCGGACGATCTTTTAAATTCAGAAAGATTTCTGATCCTTGAATTCACCATTATGTTTCCGGTTACACCGATCGTCCTGAAATTAATAAAATACTTCCGTTTACATCTGCGACAAATGCGGCCCTCCTCGTTCCGTTATTAAACTAATATACATACAGCGTAACGGAATTAATATGCGTATCGAACAATTGATTGAATTTCAGTCAATCGCTTTGATCGTTCGCTGCTGGTCATAAAAGCCACGATTTAAAGCGCATTCAACCTACTTAATAAGACCGCCACGTTTAATGGGCTAAATCATCTTATCGCGCAGTAAAATATAATTCAAAATGATTGAAGTGGAATTAAACACTTCGCACGGTTTGATCAATTTGGTAATTCGATTCTTTTTATTAAACATCACCTAGTTCGCGTGTAGCCGTGTGTTATTGCCACTAAAAATATTTCTCGAGGAAACGTACATAGTTATTTCCTTGCTTTATAATTTACTTTTTGTTGAAGTTAATGCGTGTGACTGAATGAAAGTGTACGAATCAATAATAATAACTTGTATAACCTATAGAATAATAATATAGAAATAATCATAACATAATAATAATATTATACTAAGTTTTCTACTATTCTCATTTTTTTGCGTTTTTAACTGCGATTGTCGTAAGTGAACAAACATTTTTGAAGACTAATGTACGCACGAATAACGTACTTCAATTCTTGTTTACGCGTCCACGCGCATGGAAAGATGCAAATAACCATTTATCGTTCCTCCACAGCGTAAAAAAGATTTCTTTGGTCACCCAGGTTTATCGGTGATAACCACGTTACCCAGAGTGAATGACTCGGAGACGGTATAGTACAGTACGACGGGAACTCACAATCAGCGGAAATGAAAACGATTGAACACGTCGCGTCGTCGAGGCGATTTTGCGCGTCGAAGCGCGTCTATCTAATCGTCTACAGAATTTTGTTCACTTTCGACGATTAACAAGAGCAATTAAAAGGCAAAGATCAAAAAGCAACCTTTTATTATTATTTAATAATTATTAACAAATGCCGAAACGTGCAAAATACTTTTCACCGCACGCGTATGGAATTATAGTTTCTTGGAAAACGAATTTTTACTCGTAAAAATATTCCATTGCGCAATTTTATAGGTATATTGTGATAAACTCGGTTTCACGATATTCACATTGTACAGTTTTCGACAAAATGTAATTTTCATATTGAGTGCAGCAATTGCTTGTATATGTATTCGAAAAGGGAGATAATACTGCATGTATATAAAAAGAATAGATTAGGGGAATCGGCAATGATTAAAGAGAATATTAAGAACATAAATGAATATTACTGTCCTTTTGTAAAATATCAAACCACAGTTTTATGTAGCAATGGATTCACTGTATATATAGGATGTGTAATTTTTAATAATCTGTATAAATCAACAGATTAAAATGGTACATACATTTGAATATCTCAAGTGATTAAAACTTCACACTATTCGGAGCGCATATGTTTCGTTGATAAAGTGGCAGTATTAATATCGAGTGCATTTACCAATGATAACTTAACAGTCCGAATTAATACGAGAAGGATACTGTGTGTAACGTGAAAAGAGATAAGATTTGAATTTTGTTCATTACCAATCGATGAAGTAACTAGACTGCAGATATTTATACTTTAAACTTTATATCATTATATTGAATAAATAAATATAACTGTTATATTGAATTCCTTCATAAACAAAATGAGTTTTTGTTTGATGCGAAACATTAGAAATTTGCTTTTAAACAGTTGGAATTGCATAAATATCCCTAGCTTAAGAACGATAAAGATGAAAAAGGTCGTTAAGGTTAATAAGAAAACAAATGTCGAACAGCGACTAATTTCCCGAAAATTAATATTTTGACGGATCGACAATATCCGTTACTAGCCAAAATAATTAATATTGAAAATACATCGAAACACGTAATTATACAGTAACATGTTATCAATATAATTAACGCTACTAACGTGAAGCCTGCCAGTACATTCATCAGCGTAGACTTTCCCGCGCCAGATAGTCCCATGATCGCTGTGAGCTCGCCAGCTCTGAATTCCCCACTCAGATTCTTCAGCAACTGCAACTTCTCTAAAAAAACATATTAATGCAAATGCAATATAAATTCTATCGTACAAAAGTTTTTACACTTTGATTCGCCCTGTTATGATCCTTAATTTAACTGTGCATTAGAAATGTTACTGAAAAAAATAGGAACTCATTGTCTAATAACAACCGTCTTAAACCATTCTCAAATTTAAAGTATTCTTATCAAACTCGAAACATGATTAAACCGGGAAAGCTTAATCGAGCAAAACAGTACTGCAAAAATGTACATTTGATTGGGTCAAAAGGGACCCGAAGAACATAGTAGGGTCAAGCTGAAAAACATCTCCTCATCTTGGAGGACAATGTAGCGCATGTTTTAGTGTAATCTGGGGTAAATTGACAGTTACTCGTTATGCGCATTTAGCTCACTACGCTTGAACCACGCCCTCTGGGATTTTTTCTAACTTATCCAGTTGCGGCTACTTTCATCTCGATAGTAAACCTAGGCACAAAGTGCACGGTCAATGTTATAAATATGATCGCTCGGGTACGTACAGTATGGCTGAACAGCTTATCACGTAACAATGAACCGCAAGAATCGTCGCAGATAATAATGGAATGTAAAGAGAGAAAGCGTCCGCCAATTTCAGTAAAGAAACATCAATTATTTACTAAAAGCAACACGTGGTTGAACTTTCCGTCAGTATCAGTCCTTGCTTTCACCTTGCAGAATTCACCATGCATTTCTACCATTCCACAAGAGAAACTCAGAATTTATTCATAAGCGGATAATACTTGGCCTTAAGCATTAAAATTAAACTTTTCACCAATTAGCTGCGCTAAACGAGTATACACGTGATTTTAAAACACAACGCGGTACTAATTTTGTGAACAATGAATTATTTATTTGTTTAGATAAATGTAATATTCCTTTCCATTTTGCTTTAGTTTTTCATTAGAACATATTATAGCTGTATTTGCTCTGCGTTTGTCGCGTACACACTTTATTGTGCGAGAGACTTTTGAAACTGAATTCCACAGTTAACAAGTTAAAATATCTTAACACTTGGACGGCGATAAATTCATAATTCGGATAGACCACCGATTTTAGACACTCACGTTATACAAATATCACACAAATATTACGTTTCTTTGTTCCTCGAAATTTATACTAAAAAAAAATAATTTTCTAGAAAATGGGTAGTAATCACAGAATCACTTAGAAAAATCTAAATTTGTATAAACATTCGCAGTTCGCCAATAATATTGAAATTCACAAAATGTTACGCAAAACGATGCGACTGTTGCATGTTATCTGTCTAATAATTAAGTGATAATGAAGGTTCGTGACAGTTCCATAACTATGTAGTTTACTATGTCCTGTTTACGTACTAATTCAATGCCGTACTTTTATAATCGGAAACATTTCCAGAATCATTTGTAATTATTTGAAATCATCAAAACTAACTGAAGAAAAATTAGCCCACAGCTAAAATATCCAAATAAAATGCTATGAATCAATTAAAAAAAAATTATAGTTTAAAAATAATCTAACTGTTGAGAGTCGGGAAGAAGGGCGGAAGTTATAGAGTTAGTCTATAATATGAGATTAACAAGGAGTCTGTTCATGCACATAAAGTACTAAAGAATATAATGTAAACTGCCCCTTGTATGGTTGACCATGGCACAACAAGGGTCCCATTGAATTTGTTACGGACGATATAACGGCTTCTATTATATATATATATATATATATTTTTTTTTTAAAGAGTCCTTAACCATGTTTAATCTCGTGCCGTTCAACCAATGGTTCAGGGTTAATAAACTCATAACAGCCCGACGACACGCGCACACATGAACGGTTACCATTGTGCACGCGGTCTATTTATACACTCTGAGACGAATTCTCCGACAGCATTCAAACACGAGTATCGAACGGATACTCATCACGTACAATGCACGAAAAATTAATTATACTCTTAAGTATGATATTAAATTCTGCATTATTATTACCTAATCTTAATTCCGACCATTCAATATTTAATGATACTTAATGATATTCGTAATAATACTTTTGATAACAAAAATGTTCGATCAAACAAATCAAGCGTACGTCGTAATAATTACATTCTCAACGCATATTTGACACTATATAAATCAATATATGATTCTTATGATTACATATTTTACAATTTTTGAGAAACTTAATTTTGAAATAAAAGTAAATTTTCAACTTGAAAAATTATTTGTGTTAACTATGAAAATTATACAAATGTTTCTTTCTATTGTTGAATAATGTAATGATTCACAGAATTGAAATAAAAAATATTTTCATCAACGGTAATTAGAAACAAGTAGAAAAACGGTCGAAAATATCATTGAAATTGTTTCGATTTAAAAGTGTTCATCTACAAGACTTAAATAATTATAGTAAAACGTGTCACGCACGGACAAGAACAATAGTAGATAATAAGTTAAGTGTATCTTAGGGGACGACATTATTATTGACGAGTTCAATGTTTCCCATTGCGTCAATCACTGATGTGCACTTCACCCATGATCGACCCACTTGTTATTCGAGTCAATTGTAACAAGCTGTACATTATAATTGTCACTAGCAAACGCCTCCCAGACACATAACTCAATCGAAAACGATAATGTTCTACTTATATCGGCTTCAGATCACAGATTAATCATGGGCAAAACAATTTGAAATTAGCCTAATATAATTTTATGATCGAAGCTTTTCATTTTTCGAATAAGCAAAATATTTAATACCGACATTTTGAAATTCCATTTTTAATACGCTATAAGGACTTGTAATTGATATAAAATGTCCATAAAAGATTTTTAAACAATTCCTTTTCATCGCACCGTTATGTGCATTTGCATATTCATTCTAGTACACTAGTAAGTATGTATGTTATTACGCGTTATTACGTGCATCTCGGTAACACGTGATCGTCAATCACGCGTACAAAAGCACTGATGAGTTTAAACAACAGAATCTAAATCTTTTTTCGATTTTGCCATGTAAAAGTGTCAACTCCGTCGGTATTCCTTCTGAACTGTACAGAGTACGCAATAACAAAAATTCGAAACACACGTTTCATGAATAAAGTCCGACTTTTTGTTAAAATTGACATGTTATTTCAATTAAAAAAAAAATTCACGGTTTTGTCACAAAGAAAAAAATATATTGTTCAATGTTTCTCCAATACTGTGCAGCAGAGATCTGCATCACCGACATTTCTCACGAATGACATGTAACTTTCATGCCCCACGGCTAGCTCAAAGTATTAATATTCGCAAATTAAAATCAACACAGTACGTCGACTCACCTTTGAAAAGTATCCACGGTCGCGCGGTGTAACAAATATCCTCGAAGACTAGAAATATCGAGTCGTTCATCTCCATCGCGTCGTCCAACTTTTTGGTGCTGGTTGGCGCGTTTTCCGAACTACACATGGGGTACCTCAGCTGTTGTTGCATCTCGATGAGTACTTTCGTGCCCATTCTCTATCTTCTTTCCGGCAGTGGCATTCGTACACACATCAGCGTGCTTTCTCTTTCTCTCCTTAACGGCCGACGATCGCTATCAGCTTGCCAAACACAACGAAACGGCTTGAGAAAGTCAACAAGGAGCACGTGTACAAGAAAAGTAAAACAAAGTAAAAAGGAATAAAAACGGTTCAGAGTTTAAGAAAAACTGGTTATCGCATTTCGTAACCGATCGTGGGCGGCACGTTCACAAGTTTAGTGTCCGAATTCACCATACAGTGCGTTTGGACACAATGTCTCGATCGCCCTATACTTCGCTCGCTACACGACACATTTAATTGCATTACTGATATCGACGAGCTCTATACTATTATCAACGCACGCGTGGCAAAAGTAGTCATAAAAAGAAGAACGTTTCCGTCACTCGTAATCATTGTCTTTCTTATTTAATCTGCATTGCAAAGTAGGCGTTCGAAGCTACATCCGAGTATTCTACGAGCTTGTCGTGTTTCGTACAATTTACAGGCAATTAAGGTTAACAAAAAATTCAGCTCGTAGAAGTAGAAAATATCGTTTTATTGAAAACCGCGCCAATTGAAATGTTTCTAAACTCATTTTATCAAAGTTTTCATTTTGAATATTGGCCGTTCGAACACTCAGTCGTGATTGACTCTGATTTGAAATATGAGCCTGCGTGTTTCTTCTTTGAAACCAGTCTGATAATGATTCATATCAATGCGGAATTTGTTATCCAACATTGTACACTTGGTTTTGCTCAAACATCAAACGGTTCGTAGGTTTTTGCTCATCGGAGTGCAGTCCTCGACGCACAGATGCGCGCGTCGTGAACCGCATGTAAAACACACGACTAAGGAGCAACTCCATACAGGCTGAAGTAGAGGTCGTCTGCGGCGGATAGTATTACGAAGGTGTGTCGTCTTAATTCATTCACAAGGAAATTGCTACTTTTAGTTTTCTTTTCTTTTTTGTGAAATTTATTTACGTGACCCAACATTTTATCTAATTTCAAAGTGTGTTTATGGGCCACCGATCGTTAATAGGTTAACGCACAGGCTATCAGCGAGACGCGATGGACTTTCTGCTCAGATGGTATGGTTGGTTTACTATAAGAAGGAATGTTATATACTTCTTTAAGTATGTAGCCTAAATGACTAAATAATTTTATAGCATTACATATTAGCATTCCCTTTTGTTAATTCTTATTTTTATAATTTTAAATAATTATGACAAATCGTGTAAATATATTATAAATTCGGCATTGTGTAAATATATACCATAGGCAATACGTGAATGTAGCACAGAGCTGAATATATTAATAACATGTTTCGCGCGTCGATACAAGTTGTTTCGATGTACTCAGCTAGAATAATTTTGTAACGTTCTTAATTTTGATACGTGTACATTATATTTTAAGCCATTATTTTGGTGTTATTATTATGTTTACAAACTTATTGATGTTAACTGTTTGGAAATTGAAGATTTTCGATTCAGTGTAATAAAACCAGTCTCTAGTGACCTAGTCGTGGATCGTGCAGCCTACATTTCTTTATTATGAAATATGATCCATCAGTGGGTCATTTTATTACCATCACTTATGACAGAAAATACGTCACAGGGACAGAACAAATATTTGATTATTCTCTTTATCGTTGATGCAACAAAAGTTTTCAAAGTAATTTTTGTAAACATGTTGCTGTAAGAATGAAATAAATGCACGGATATATAACCCTTAACCTATATAGTCCTCTTGAGACTGTAGAGACGTTCCAGCATTGCAGCTGGCAATCGTTACACTTCCGGTGTTACTTCCTGTGAATTTTCAATTGAATATGTTTCTTTAATAATTACTTTTACTTCGAGAATTACTTTAATTTTTAAGTCAAAAGTAAAATTATACCAGAAAGTAAATATCAGAAATATTACGATCGCTGAATTCAACACTGGAATGTACGGCCAGCTGCAGCTCCAAGGAGGTTACTTCGAGGTTGATGGCCCCGTGTAGGCGTAACTTACAAAATAAAATTTTGAATCATTTATTCTTAAAAACCAAAACATTAAATACTATATTATATTTTAAACTATATAAACAGCTTTAAAAGTAGAATACAAACAGCTATTGTTGTTTTTTACGTTATGATATTTTTCCTTAGTTCACATTTATTTCCAAAAAATACAAGTGGATACTTAAAATGCAAGGTTTGAATAGCTTTTTATATCTCCGGTTATTAAAATGTGCTTATTTTATTTGTGAGTTTTGTTTTTTATTTCAAATATTCTTTTCTTTATATTTTACCCATGTACCACTAAGATTTCCATCATAGATATACTATATTGCACTGTTGGCCACAATGTGGGGTTTGTATCAAGCGACCCTCGACACTGTACAAAATGCAACACTGTAAACCGCGGAGGCGCAGAGGTCGTTTATAACGGATTCGTTAGACTCCGCATGGAGACGCGTCGTGATACTGTCGCATCCAACGTTGGACAAGGCTTCATATCTCATCCCTACCTTATGGTTGAGAATCAGTTAATAACCGATCACGTTGAAATGTAACCGTAATGTGGAGCATACATTTACATTGACGGTATATTGACAGTGTATAATTATTATGCAATGCATCTACATAAAATTTCATCTGTGAGATTTAAATTTTAATATTTTAACTATCACGTTAGACACAAGTACTACATATTATCTACAACCTAATGTATGCACCAGGAAAAAAATTAATTTATATGATCAGATATTCATTGAAACAGATATAATTTGTTTTTAACGATTCGTTGGAAAATACGTAACAGATGTTTAATTCATTTATTTTTTTAATTACATTCTATTTTTATTGGGGTTAACATTTTTTTCATACACTCCAGACATTATGCCTAAGGTTTCTGTCGACTAACACGGCCTTGAGTAGAGTTTGGTTAAGGCAAGTTAAGAGGGTAATAACGTTGTGTTTATAACCATAGTGGTGCATTGCCTTCGAGTGTGATGGTGCATTGTCTTCGAGTGTGATGGTGTATCTTCGTGAATACGTATAATTCGATGTTTGTAGGAAGGGACAATGAAAGATGTTCGTGTGTATGAATAATTTTAAAAGCGGACACGTTACAAGACAAAAGAACTATTTCTTTTTTAGTTCTGGTAACTTCAAGAAATAGAATGATTATCACTGTATGAAAATTTATCAAGCTTATAGCACAAACAGATCGCGGTTACTTTCGACAAATGTTACAAATATAGCATGTCACGTGTAATTTTTATTATTCTATAATTCATTATTTATTATTCATTATTTTATATAGTGAAAAGCGTATATACGCATAATTGAAAAACATGTATACACAAATGTACATACAAGTGATTAACCCCTTGCCATACAATGACGAGTGAGACTCGTGATGAAGATTTCTAGATTAATTTAACAAAAATCAATGTCGTTCATTGCCCAATAGCTCAAAGCAAAAAAAACTATTTTACTATTATCAATGTATTATCTTCAAATGAAATTTCCACTTAAAGTAGAATGGACAATTTTATTGCATTTCTTCAAAATCGTCGATAGTAGAATTTTACACGAACTTACGATCCTTAAAATCGACGTTTGTGAGACCGCAGTTTCTATGTGCGTTCGGACCAAGGCTGAAGAATTTTTTGCCGCATGAGAGTGAGGGGTGCGAGGTTCGAGAGTACCTTGTGGGTGCGAATGCTTACAAGGATAAGATTGCATGGCCGTGCGGTGTCAAATGACTGTCCGATGTCACGGATATAGGGAGTGTCGTTAAGATACAAACGGATTTGTCAACATCGAGTCAAAGAATCGAGGGAAAAGTTAAACACAACGAAACTTTGGATATTGATTTGTTTGATTCAGGCAAGCCAAAGATAGCCAAGATAATCACGGAAACGAACATTTACTATTATTCCCAGTACCTGGAACTGTGTTAAAGGATTGGATATTTGTCATCCTAACACTTTAATCTATTCATTGCTGTGACGGTCACCAGTGAATCACTGTTGGCCGACACGTGATACGTATTTATTTATTTATTATTTCCCTTTATTGTTTACGTTGTAATAGTCACTGATGAGGGATAGGTAAATAAATACGTTATGCGTGATTTTTTTTTTGTTTGGTTCAATACTACAGTCCGGTTTACTATTCTTTTCGTAAATATTTACTATAGAGGAGGCAGCCCGGATGACCTTAAGCTTGAAGTATATTGTTAGGGGCACGATTTTAAGTAACTTTTCGCTATCAACGTTACTGTCGCCAGACTTTAGCTTTAAAGATATTTAAGTAACGTTTCTTCATTGTCCACGATTAATTAGGTGTTCATAAATAAATTATAAAATGATACGATAATACTAATAAGTTGGTCTTTTGTAACTGAAATGCTTATACATTATTATTAATTAATGAAATAACACTTCTTTGATGGATGAAGCCGTCCTGAATGTGATAATGAAAATTGGCAAAGTAGATAAGATAGTTAAATCAATAATCAATAAGTTAAGTAAATGTAAAATATTCAGCTTTGAATAAATAATGGCAACGAAGAAAAGGTAGAGATGTGTTACATGGTATTTCACCGATATGAATATTAACGAAAAAGATAAGGTTTGTAAATATCGATAATTTCTAAGCACAGACAAAAGCGAAACCTCTGAGGTGGACTTCACTTCCTAGGGTTTTTTTTCAAATTTGCCAACCTTTCTTGTGAAAAGCGGTAACTCAATTATGGGAAATTTTATTCTTATTTTATCAATTACACTCTTCCCTAAATTTCACGTAAGAACGGACGCAAAACAGGAATTACTTTAATTAAGTAGTTCAATTAAGTAAACCGCTTGAAGATACTTACACAGAGGCGAGGTAACGTCTGTTAAGAACATTAACGTGGCACTCCTACGCAATGTTCATCTTTAATCACGATATCCTCGCATCACTGATTTATCACTGTATCACGTCGATAGAAGTTTCGTCGTTGCGCGACTGAAAGTAAGAGAGCCACACTGATTCCTTTCACAGGTAATAGAAAAGATGAAGGATTAAAATACACTGCCGATCAAGTGAATTAGAAACACTCCCTTGTTGATCTCACGTATGTCGAATTCTTGCTTCGACACACATGACACAACACACTTGTACAC